ATCAGGCTGATCAAGAAGTGCTGGTGCCCTGAGCTTTCTGCAAGTAAATTCGAGCTTCCTCAGTCTTCTCACAACATCCAATCGAACTGCTAATCATCCACTCATATCCAGTCTCTATGCTGACTTTGGATGCACTGGATGCATTCAAGCAGCTGCTCCACCAGCCTCAAACAGCTGAAGGGACTATAAATTGACACCCGAAACGGACTTCTGACATTGCTTGTGAAAAGAAAATGAAAAGGAACTTCATTACAGCTGCAGAATATTTGACCTCCAAAACACTGCATTTGGCATCCTTTCCGAAATCTCACTTGACATATTTGGTGGTTTGCATCCGCTTTTTTTGCATCTGTTTGTCTTGCCTCTGGCTCCGCGGCAACTGGTGGCGGCTTGCTGTCTTTGAATGGATTCTGCACGCAAGTACCAAATCCACAGAGTCACATCAATCCACAACAGTCTGGCCTCTCCCTGAACCAGAAAATTCGGCAGAAGTTTATGAGTGTTCGGCAGAAGTTTTATCTTTATCATTTTTATCTATTTGATTTTTGCATGTTTTTTTCACTCAAAACTTGTCAAAATCACATCTCAGACCCATCTCTCACCTGTTTCTTTTGCTGCTGCTTTTGCTGCGTCTGCTGCTTTTGCTGCGTCTGCTGCTGCTGCTTTTGTGGAGGTTTGACCTCCGGCGCAGGCTGTTGGCTTCCTCGCTGAATTGCTTCCAGTCCCTGGCACAGTGGCAAAGCATGGCCATGGCAAAAGCGCCAAGGACACGGCTGGATTACAGCAGCTTTCATCATTTCCATCATTCCCCTATTTTCCTGTCCCCTTCATTGTTTCTTCTAGATGTTCTTCAAGTTTCTGCTTTTCACTATGACTGCTTTGCCATGCCTGGCCCTCCAGAAGTTCCAGCAAGGACTCACGATCTACACGGCCCTGACGCAACAAACATGTTGAGAATAGTCGAAAATAGTTGATGTTTGCAAACGCTTTGGACTTCTGAAGTACTGCCAAGTCCAACACCATCCAAAATCAAGGACTAAAAACTGAAAAGTATACTAAAGTGACTAATTTGAAAGAAATGTTACTTTTCAGCTTTGCCTCGGTGTTGAGGCCCAATTCATTGAGCTCTCTTCTCAGGTCGCGGGCCTCTGAAGTGGCACAAATCGTGAAAATATCTTCAGTTTCCAAGTCTCGAGTCAAGATGAAGCTTGAGGTTCCCAAACCCGAGGTTGTTATGAGGCACAACTGTACAACAAAAAACATATGATCCGGATTCCGATGCAAGTAGCTAGCGACATCGAGCAATGTTTCCATATTATCAGCTCTTCTTGGAAGTAAAGTTGTCTCTCTGACTGCGAGCCTTGCGCGACTTCTCCATACTTTCACGATTTTTTGCTGAGTTCCGGGAATTTATGGGTTCCTACATGTTCCTAACATGCCAGAGCCATTTGCTTCTCTTCCCCGCCTTCAAGGCTCTCAACTCTTCTAGCCGTTTCAAAACCTGCACGGAGGAAGCAACCTGCTGTGGATCAGAAATGGTCAAAGAATGTTACAGATCTTACAGATCTAGTTCCACATTTAACAGCATTTAACAGCAGAATAAGAATGAAGACACCCCAGCAAGTGTTATTCATCCTCTTTGACAAACATCGTCTGCAATTGTCTAAGGTGAAGGAGACACAGCTGTTGGGAGAAATCTCTGTGCTGTCGTTGATTATGATATTATTATCTGGATTTTTCTGGTATGTTGTCAAGCAAAGATTCAATCCCGCTGGCTTGGCTTCCATTGACGTTCCTAGGGATTTCCAAACCTTCTTGAAGAGTTCCCACCATAGCCATTGATTATCATCAGATTATCATGGGTCGATCTGAATCGCGGCCTTCTTGGAAGGTCCGACCTGAATTCACCATTCGCAAGAATTCGCAAACTCACCTCTCTAGCGTTGCAAACTCTGCTGAAATCGTTCTGAAAACCGAAACTGCGGGTGTCAACATGACCTGTCACCACAGACAGGCCATAAATGCCGAAATCATGCCGAAATCATTGTCACAACCGTCACAACCTGCCTCTGACCGTGATGAAGTCTCTGAAGTGTCGGAACCGAGCAACACCCTGCGAAGGAGTGTTGCGAGCATTTTGTTTGTGCAAAAGTCAATCAACATTGCTCCAACAAATCATAACAAATCCAGAATAATCACCTTCGTTCCAGCTGCGCCTGCGCCCTTCAGTTTCCAGGAGCTCTACCAATGACCTCAGCCAAACCAGCGACCTAGACATACGATGCAGTTTGTTAAGTGCGAATAATTCAATTTTCTTGACTGTTTTGACAGGGATCTTTACATTCGGGTGGGATAATCTTTGTGTTGTTGGGAGGATCCATGTTTGTATTGTGTTGAAGCCTCAGTGCAGTCTTTGTTCATTCTACACATATCATATTTATATATTGCATACTGCACACATACTGAGGCGTACTGAGGCGTTTTGAAAACGTTTTGAAAACGTTGTGCTTTTCTCTCAGATCTCAGATCTATTCAGATCTCAGATCTCAGTGCCCAACTCTTTATCGACGCGACCTGCCGTAGAGATTCCCATGGCCTCCAGCTCTTGCCGTAAATCCCGGGCCTCGCTGAATCTTGAAAAACCATGATGAACCATGAAACTCATGAAACAAAACGTTTCGGAACCATCCAGAAGTACAAAAACCTCCTGAAAATTCTGAAAATATGCTTTACTCTTGGCTTGCTGCATTGAACTTCATTGAACGTTTAAAAAACAATCGTAATCTTCGCCTTCAGAACTGGGGCCCTCGCCCGTAGGCCCTGCATTTCCTGAAAGCGCTCTTCCAGTTGTCGCCTCGAACTTTGACGTCCAACAACCATGCAAACCCACTCTGGACCGTGTTGGTGTTGGAACAGAACCGAACCATCACTGGGCACCAGACATGTCCAAAACCTTTTCTTTCACACCTTGTCAGAATTGTCAGACAGTCAAGGTTATATTATCTTGTTTGCAAGTGGATCTGGTTTCTGTTTCTCCCACGTTGCCTTCAGAATTAAGGTATCTTTAGATCAGTTGCGACCAATTCTGAATCTCCCATCTCTCGTCTGCGTAATGCTTAAATTTCGACAAGTCCTCGCATTGCCTTGTCGCACCAGGTGCCGCCGTCGCGCGGAAGCCACTCCAATTGCCGCCTGAGTGCAGCATCTATGGTGGTTGTAGAAACACATGATACAACCAATTTATACCGATTTTATGATTTTCATCATGATCTACACATATCTACACGTTGCCCAAACGTTGTCCGTTCTGAAAACCCCTGGTACTTTTGAAGGCACAAGCAATAGCTGACAAAATTTCTTGACCGAGTCCCAGCTCTGAGCACATGGCTCCAGGTGCGCAGGCCGAAAACTGCCAGGCACCTGTCACCCCACCTGAGAAACATGTTCTGTAGTTCTCTGCAACCTTCTGCAACTAGATACCAAAAACATTCAAACACTACCAAAACACCCAATGAATCTGAATACATAATAATTAAGAATTATACAAATAACATTAAATAAGTCTAAATAATCTAAAAATCAGCGCACCAAGAGAAGCTTTCAATCTGGCCTCTTGCAGGTCTCGTGTGACAAGGCGAGGCAATCGAAGTGCCGGGCCCCTGCAAATGCACCAGACATGCACCAAACATGTCGTGTCATGTCGTGTCATGTCGTGTCCGTGCGCTCGGAGTCCAAATGAGTCGAAAAGTTCCAAGATTTCACGACGTTTCACGACGTTTCACGACGTTTCGCGACGTTTCGCGATGGTCGAATTTCGGAATCCCAAGAGGAATCGGATTTTCTCCGCATTTCCACGGTGTAAATCCAGATCCTATCTCTCTTGGCCTGGACATATCTAGGTCTGCTCGGAAGCTCAGGAGCCAACCTCTGTCAATGGCAGGATGATGCAGGATGCCACCGAACTCCCAAAAAAAACATAAGCATACAGCATACTGTAACTTATACTAAAATCATCAATGCTATACAGTAATACAGCCATAGTATACCGTAGTATATCGTACCTCATTGGAAAAACATTTTTTCAACTTTGCGCAAGTCTCACTTCCAAGACCCGGGCATGGCAAGACACGGTGCGAACACACGAGGTGAAGTCGCTTTGATGTGACCTATTTTCCTCAAGGGATCTTTAGGGTATGTCACAACATGTCACAATAATTACATGGCATAATATGATTGATATAATATGGTACTAATCTGGTACTATATCAAACAATCATACAATGGTAATTTTCGATACAATTCTGCTTGATCTTCAAAGAATTCAAGGCACAATAATGATTTCCTAGGCAATGTTTTTGTTGATGGGGCCCCCATCCATACCTGGCACTACAACATGGACACTCATTGTATCTTATCATAGACCATGATCTGCTAAATCAAGTGTTCACGACTTGGTAGGATCTTGGTAGATTGATACATGATTGGTACATCTTAAAGGACTGCCTTCTTGCATAGTGCGGCTTCCTCCGGCCCAAGCTATAGCGTGCAAACAGCAACGTGTTTCAAGAATGTGATTCAGTCAGGATCAATGCAACCGCCCTGCGGGACACCATAAGTTTCCAATGCATTCCTTCAAGGCATTGTGTGATCCAACCCTCTTGCAAACACACCCCATCAACATGCAACATCCCTGATCAAACGAGGGCAAGAGTGCAAACCCGGCAACACTTCCAACGCACCCGATTGGGAAGTAGAATAGATCCATCACAGGGCATAATCAAATGATCAGTTGATTGATGCTCAAAAAATTATATAAGCTGTCTGTTTCCACTGTTCAGGTAATGCCTTTATTTCCTTTCCTCATTTGGTTCTCAAACAGTCTACCCTTTGCTTTTTTTCCCTTCTTCTTTCATCAGAGATCCAAACACGTTTTGAAATCGAACTGTCTTTATCATCTTTATCTAGCTTATTCCCATGATTTTCCTATGAATTTCTCATCATTTTACTCCTGACACCTCCAAGGCGAAGGGGTCAAACTACCAGCCTTCGATCCTCGACATCTCTCGACATCCACCACTGCTGGGTGCGACATGTCTCGATGTTTCGAGCGCGCCCGAGCGCGGCCGGGCCTAGCTGTCATGCAGCGTGGAAAAAGGCCCGACATCTGTGACATCTGGGTGAAAATCGCTGCAAGAGCACCCAGTATGGGTAACATGGGGCGGTTGCATCTTGAACAGTCCACCAAACATGGCCTGAACTATGTACAACGATCACATAACGATCACTATATCCAAATATGATTCAGACTTCGGTTGCTATGCACCACAGCTCGGAACTTTGCTAAAGATGCCGCTTTTTGCCTGCCAAGTTCAGAAGTCAAAAGGCAAATGTAAGATGAGTCATCATTGGGTCATCATATAATGTCTATATACATCCTCTAATGTACAGGAAGACTTGTTTCTTAAGACAAACGTAAGCAAATCAGTTTTTGTGGTCCTAATTTTGTCTCGTCACGCTGTAAAAAGAACGCATTCGAATGCAGAAATGCCACAGTCCGTGGCCTCTGATTCCATTTTGCGGAGAAGAGCCGGAAGAGTCTGGGTGCGGCGAGTTGCTGCAAATTTGAAATGGTTTTGCTCGGGGGTCGAAGCTGCTTTTATTCACTTCATCGAAACTATCAAAGCAAATGTGGATTGAAACGTTGAGAGGTTGAGAGTTTCAAGTTCAAGTTCTGTGTTTGTAATGTAAGGTCCCTGATTCCAATCCTTGCCCCATTGTAGAGATTCACACACTGGAAAGGATGTTGCGAGAATTTATGCCTGGATTGGGGAAAACTGTGTTAGAAATTCCGAACGTGCAGCAATGTCCAGCAGTGACATGTTCGACATATTTATACAGTATGCAGATGTGTGCAGTATGCACAGGAAAAGTCTGGAGATGAAAGACTCAACAAGTCTTTCAATACATCTTCTGACCCGTTCCGTCTCACCATGTCTCACCATGTCTCTCCTAGATCGACATATCGACACACCTTGACTTCACATCCTCCAATCCTCATGGACTTCACGCCCTGATCACAGGATATCACAGGGCTGATCCAGGCCTCTGTTGACTTCATCTGGCTGAGGCTGCGTGATCTTCGTGGTCTTTGTGGTGGTCTTGGGACAATGGAGAACTGCTGCTCCATCGAATCACCGCAACCTGTCCAGTCTCGCTATGTCTCGCTATGTCTCGCTATGGCCCACGTTTGCTGCACGTTTGCTGCACGTTTGCTGCACGTTTGCTGATCTCTGGAAATCTGCCCCGTCTGCCCCTGCCATCCCCTGCCATCCCCTGCCTATGTGCTCAGCACTTTCCTCTACGACATCCTTCCAACAGCGCGCTGAGATGCCAGTGACCGCCAAGAACAGAAAAGTCATGAAACTTGGCACCAGGATCAAGTCCTTGAGTCAGGTGAGTCTCAAGTTTGCTCGTCGCAAACGGCTTCAAAATGCTTCAAAATTAGCGTTGAAAGTCGTTTCAACACTGGCAATATCTGGCAATCGTTGTGGATTGCAACTCGTGAATCTTTGAAGTCGAACTTCAGGATTTGAGCTCAAAGAATATCCGAACATATAGTATACATATACAGTACATAACTTGTAGCATCTTAAAGTGGGATGAAAGAATATGAAAGATACGACAAATGGGTACGACTTATCGTTTGTGTAGAAATGTTCAAGTCGAGGCGCCGTGCAGATCTCTATGGTTGCACTGATCTCCCAATCTCTGACATCCTTTGGATTAACATTGGCCAAGAACGATGTCCTCAGTGCGATGATAGCTATGAAGTCTCGGCCAAGTTCAACTGCTATTGCTGCTATTTCTTCTCCCATTGTTTGCCAAATTTTCTGCCAAGGATCACAAACATGAGACAAAATGTGATGTAGCTCACACCTGAAAGCATCAACCTAGCACAACCCGAAGAGTTGAAACACATTGAAACACCCAACGGAACTTCGCAGGAAATATCTGGAAATCCATGTCTCAGGCAGCCTTTGACTTGGCACTGCCTTGCAACTTTCTGTCGAGAGGTAAATAATGTAAATATGTCCTATATATCACATTCTATCTGCACTAGATCTGCACGAATAATCTCTGCATATCTCTGCAAATCTTACAAACGCCCATGTGATTCTATCTCCATCGTCCATACTTCGTCTTTCTTAAATGATCAATGTTTTGTCTTATCAACCTGTGTCAAGCATCTTCTAATTGTTGTGATTCTAAGTCTAAAGTAGTTTTATAGGTATAAATTATAATTACACATAGTATGTCCATTTTGCCTTGCCAAGCAGCTGGAAACCCACAGCACTCTGTCTCTGCAGCGCCACCTCCGTATCACTCTGGACATGTCCTCCTCGTCGACTTTCACAAACTCGCGGATGTGCAACTTCGAAAGCCTCAATGGGTTCTTATGGGTCTATTCTGACTATTCTTAAGGGACTATTCGACTATTCTTGAATATTATTGTAATTCAGAATCTATTCTAATCCCATTAAGAATCCAATGATATGATTGGTTGCTGGGGCTGGATGCTTGGGTAGATAATACGGAGAAATAATTACTGGTTTGATTTTTAGCGGGGATGGATGGTTTAGCCGGACAAAAACAAAATCCAACTGTCAGCCAGACTGAATGTGCATCCATCTTTTGGCAGTTTATACATCATGATGACACGTGCATTTTTACAGTCTACCTGTTTGTACGTCATGTGATGTAATTTTCAGCACATTTGCTTCAGCGTATTTCAGCATGGCAAGAGATATTATATAACTATATTACTATAACTATAACTATAACTCTTAGAATGGAAGGCAACTCGGCAATAGGCAATAGCTTGCGTCTGATGGAATGGAAATGTTCATCAGAAACGCAGTGGGTCATTCCAGGCATAGTATCCTTCAACTTCACAAGCTGAGAGGCTTTGTTTGAGCCAAGCAGCAACATTTCCGGAATGCTCGCTAGGAGTAGCGTTGCAAGGGCCACTGCAACGCACTTTCCCAGAGTATCCCACATGTCCATATCTTTACGACCTTAGGCTTTGACTCCATCACTCCGTCTGTCAGCTGGAAACATCTCGAACCAGTTAGACTTTCTTCAGCCCAATAGTTCCAAATCTTGATTGGCCAAGAAAAAATGTGCGTCTTGAGGTTCCTGAGCTTTCTGGTTTGACATGGTTTGACCACCTTCGCCGCTCAAGCCGAGTGGCACAATTTGCTGCCTGCTGAGTTTTGCCAAAACAGCGCCGTGACTGCCAACGCCCCAGAAATGCGGCAAAGCAAAAGCACCGTACTCAACGATGAACTGATGAAGATGCCTCACCACTTGGCTTGAGAGTCTGATCATGTCTGCTCCTAGAGAACAATGAATGAACAATGAATGAACTATGAACATTTAAATCGTTGAATGATCATTAGGATCATCTTATGGCCTGAAACCTTCCCCAACTTATGGCAAAATCATGAAAAGATCAGAAGGAACAATGTCGCCCTTGACGGCCCTTGATCTCTTGTTCTATGGAGTCTCTCAAGAGTGCCACAACTTTGTGTAGGTTAGTTTCAGGGGTCATGAGAATGTGTCAAATGGCTCGGATGCGCTGAATTGATTTAAGCGGCTCCGGTGCAGAACAGTCAACCATGGAGCCTGTGAAAGAAAAAGTCTTGCGGCGGTCCTCAGATAACGATGCGGCCATCAACCCCACAGGTCAACCCCTGGATCATTCTGTACAATTTGAGGCAAACATGTAATGTGTCAGCGGAAAGCTGATTTGCTCATTGGATACTGATTTTCTACAAGAACTACAATGATAGCAAACAATGCGCAAAACAATCATAACAAGGAGCTTCGCTAGAAAGCTCCCGCGACCGGCAGATTGCATGAGCGTTTCATGTTGCCTCGCAAAGTGACTCACAAAGTGAGCAACAGGAGCACAACTTTCACAAAGCTTCAGTGTGATCAAATCCCAAATGTCAAGTCCATGGTCGTCGTCATGGTCCATTTTGTGTGAGATACTGAGATACTGAGATATACGGATACGATACTGTGAGATACGATACTGTTGAGAATCTGTTGAGATACTTGCACAATCGTTTCCAGTTTCGATGGTTGTCTGGTTCATGTCTGGTTCATGTCTGGTTTCATCCTACGTCGTGTGGGAAATACATCACTCTTCGGAGCTCAGGCACTGAGTCAGCTGTTCCTCCACTAATCGATGCAAGACCTTGATCTTCACCTCTGAGACTCGCAACTCCTCCGATCTATGCAACTTCAACGTTTGACATTTTTTGGTCATTGAGGTGATGAAAAATGATGAAAGTCTCAAGGTGAGAAACCAGTTCGGAAGCCAGCTTCAAATGTGACACAAAACGATGCAAACATACATTGTTCACAAAACATCGCAAAGAAACATGTTAACTCTGACGGTTTTCTTGTCATGTTTTTTCTGTGTCCTCACCCTCCACGGACTTCACGGAGATTGTATCAGCTTTGCTGGCTGAAGCACGTGTAGAAGGCGTGGAAGGTCTGCTCGCTCCAGTTGCTGCTAGTTGGTCCTCCTCACAACTTCCGATGTGCACAAATGCAATTTGAGCAATTTGCACACAGTGGAGTCATGTGTTTGTTGATGTTTATGATGTTTGTTGTTAAAAGCCTCTGACGAATAGCTCTGCCATTGAAACTCATTTTAACGTCTGACACACGAGGCGTCCTCCAGAAGAAAACGTACATCCTCCAGCGAAAGCCACATAGAGGCGCATGCCTTGCACGCCATGGGCGAGTTGTTTGATCCATGCCAAATCCAAACATCCAAACCTTGTGCCGGCCTGATATTCAAGACTCGATGCAACCATTCTGGCCATCAAACGCCGAATCGTTGCCTTGCGATTGTTTCCTGCTGAAACAGATCTGCATCGTGTTGATTCGTAAACACTTCGGCCAGGCAAACTTCCGGCGAGAATTCCACTGAAATTCGAACAAGGCAATTCACCATTCAATACTACAATACTCAACTACTGGTAATTATAACATTTCGAGAGGATATCGATATCAAGAACAAGCAATGCATAATACATTGATATTAGATATTATTAGATATTGTTTATAATCATGATAGAATATGTGTGTGAACAGAAAGCGTCTCCTTCCGAAGGCCACAGCAGCTCCCAGGAAGTCTCCCAGGCGCAAACCACGAAGTTTCGCATGTAGCTGAAGGAGGCTTCACAAGTTGAGCCGATCACGTCCAAAAAGTTCATGGCCTGGGAACACGACCGGAGACAGGTGCAACTGGTGCAACAAGATGTTTGTTCAAAAATGTGTTGAAAGATTTTGAAAGCAATGAAACCAATTTTGGGCAAACTCTTGGAGCCAAGGCAAAAAGGGAAAAATACTGCTAGAGCGTGAGAGGATCACAGGATATCGATTGAAGATTATGAAGATTCATCTTAAAATATCTTAAATACAGTATGTTAAAGGCTGTTTGTCATGCTTGTCCATTGATTTATCTCACCCTATCTCCCTACATCTCCTTACATCTCGTTGCATCTCCTTACATTGTGCTTTTGCCGAGATTTGCTGAGCCACGGTCTCTTTCAAGCTGGAGCAGAAGCCGCTGCCAATGCCACCCGCCAGGTATCGTGCATTTTGCCTGTCGATGTTCACTCGGCCTGTCGGACAAACATCAACTTGAATATACTTGAATAGACTTGAATATCAGTGAATATCATAAATCTATATAATTAAATCTGATGGCATTGGCATGCATTGGCTATCATTGCAAAACTCAGACTATGCACATCTCTGGACACCAGCCATACCTGTGAGCGTTGTCTTGGCTCTTGTGCGAGCGTACTGTGATGCTTTGGCTCGATGCGGATTGGTGGTCACAAAGTTCTCGTCCAGCCAAGCACCTTCAGATCATGGCATCACAATCATAATATTATATATATATATAATGAAGCTATCACAAGACATCACAAGAAACTGCCACCACAATGTCAAGCTGGTTATTTCATGAAGCTTACGTAATCAGATTTTCATGGCAGACCTGGCAGATGGATATCCCCAAACCAAGGAAGATTTCCTAAATTCCCAGACAAATTGGAAGAAAGTGCCTCGACTGGGACGATGATCGCAAGCACAGGCCAGGATCATCAAAAGCGACTGCAGAAGAATGGCAATCCAAAACCTTCGGCGATTCGGAGGAATCCCAAACGAGGCTTCTCCGTTTTAAAAAACAAAATGCTTTTCACGGAGAATCTGCGCAGCTAAAAGTCTAGGCCATGGGTTTCCTTTTCATATCCTTTTCATTTTTTTGCATCTCTCTTTCTTGCTGACTGTGCCTACCAAATGTGCAAAAAGTATGCAAACACAGTTTGGTATTGAAAAGTAGTATAGGTAAGGAGTAGGTAAGCAAAGTCCCATACCATACTCACTGATGACGTTCGTTCAGCTCGATTTGGATCATTAAATTTCTGCCAAGAAACAGTTTCGCATCCTTCTCCCAGTACCAAGCTGTTCCAAAGACAGTCCTCACACCTCAAATGTCGGTGCTAAAAACTGTTCCTTGTGAAGAAGTTGGATTCACTGTCATAGTGTGAATACTAACCAAGCCAGTGCCAGTTTGAAGTCGACTTTGGGTCGAAAATGGTCGAAAAAATAAACAACAATGTTGCAGGACTCCCTATATGTTGGGTCGCTATTCGCATCTATAGGCTATATTATGCTATATTATGCTATATATACTAATTGTTGCTGGGTTCCATCCAAGGCACTCTCACTGGAGAGAAGTGTCGCTTGGGAGCACAGCAACGCATCGATGAAACCACCAAGAACTGCACCAAAGAGTGTCAAATGGTAAGACCTTAGAGATCTTAGAGAAATCAAAAAGGATCTGATCTGATATGATATCATCTGATATCATCTGATATCTGACTCATCAGTGAATTATGGGGCCGTAGAATGCCGCAAATGAATCAGTGAAATTCAGTGAAATAGAATGAGATCGACTTGTAAAGCTTTGGGAAGACTTCCAGAGTTTCAACATGTTTCAACATGTTTCAACATGTTTCAACATGTTTCAACTAATTCAAACTACTCCAGGATTCGACTGTCTTGACATATTTGACATGTCTTTGCATTCCCATCTTGGGAGCAAACGCGCACATGAGTCTTCCAGTCTCATCTCGCCACAATGTCTCCATGCCTTTCTGGGACCATCTGTTTTCTTCTTCATCCCAGTAGGCACAAAAGGCTTCCTTGGTCCAGCTTGGTCTTCCAGTTTGAACCACATTTAAACTTGATAAACACATCTTGGCAATTGAAGTTTAAAGGTTTCGCTTTTTCATGGTTTTTCAATCTTCGACACCACTGAAGTCTTGCAAGCGCAATAGGATTCAATAATTCCCTACATGCCATGTTACAAGTTGCATGTTCCAATTCTTTGGCCGCATCCGGAAAAGAACTTTGGTCACGTCTTGCGAAAATACCACTGAGGTAGATGTGAAGTTAGAATGGTGCAAATCCTGCGTTTCATTGGCGACTCAATATAATTGTCCTGGCTCATTGTCATGGTGTCCACCGATCCACCACGTCTCAAGATTCTCAGTCGTCAAGAATCTCTGTTGGGATCAACGAGTAGGCTGAAACGGATGGGCTCTGAAAGGTTCTGCACCTTGATGTTTTGGAAATCTGCACCTGACACAACATTGTCACATTGTTTTGGAAAAATTTGGCAAAGATGTTCCCAATATTTCCCAATTGTCTGCCTGTGGCGCGGAGGCTGAGCAAAGCTGCTGTGTTTGGCGTCACGCTGTGGCTGACCAAAGGATACTTCGCGTAGTGGTCAAAGGGATCCAGCGATGTGGCAATCAAGGCACCTTCACACAACGACGGCTTGGCAAGACTTGACCTGACCTACGTGATCGATCGTGATCGGTGTCTGAGGAAATTCACAGCTCTGGCCAAGTCCACTTATCTTGGCATGTGGCAAAACGGTTGTGCCAGTGAAGCATTCACACATACTCACACCATGTTGCTTCTGCGAACGCATTGCACAGAGATTGAAAGTGCAGTCTTTTTTCAGTCTGCACATCTATCCTAACACATTGCTTTAATTCCAAATCAAATCTACTGCAAAAAGGATTGCATTTCACATCATGTACAAGCTCTGTACAACTGCACAAATCAGTAAATTGCAGTCCTCAATTTGATTTCCACACACCCGCTTTCCCGCACAAGTCCTGGATTCCATATGATGCCATTTTTTGGCATTTCTATTCTGGTTATGATTCCAATATGATTTGTCATTTCCATTCCATGCCCTTCACAGCTGCCCACTAGAAGTGGCAGATTGGACGAAAGTGTAGAACATCGACTGAGGATTGTTTCGAAGCTCTTCTGTGGGACCAAACTCGGCCGCTTGCCCATCTGCTACCACCAGCACTCTGTCTCCACCCAGAACTGTTTGGATCCGGTGGGCTATGGTCAGTGTAGTGAGATGTTTGGTTTTCACTTCCGTTCGCAAAATCTTTTGGATCAAGGAGTCAGTGGTGAAATCCACTGAAGCAGTTGCTTCATCCAATACCAAGATGCGCGTGCCCCGGATCAAAGCACGAGCACAACAGAGTAATTGGCGTTGACCAACCGAGAGATTTTCACCACCCGCAGCCACCAGAAATTGCAGCTGACCTTCCTGTCCTTCAAAATAGCTTTTCAATTGGACTTTCTCCAACTCTTGCCAGATCGCATCATCCGTGTGCTGATTGAAGGGGTCCAAATTGAAACGGACCGTTCCGGTGAATCCTACTGGATCTTGAGGAATGATGGCCAAGGATTTCCGCAAAGTATGCAGACCCATCTTGGAGGTGTCATGACCGTCCAAATAGACCGCACCAGATTCCAAAGGACACATCCGAAACAGAACTTGAAGCAATGAGCTTTTCCCTGCACCAGTTCGTCCCACAATGCCAAGGCTAGAACCACCAGGGATCTCAAATGAAAGGCCTCACATGAACCAGTAGTGACTGCAGACTGCAGCAGTGTTTTTGAGAAGATTTGAGCATAAAAAGGCGCCCCGTTGGACCCTCAAGAGGAAGTAACAATAACACCTAGACTCAAGTTGACCAAGACAATCCAAGACACCTTTCAAAACCAAGGGAGTTCCCTCCCGATAGCGCATGACCACATTTTCAAAACGCACGCTGCCATCCGCTAGCCATCCAGACCGCAGAGAGTCTGAACTTTCCAACGTTTCCAAGGAGCCTTCATCTTCCATCTCCATGTACGTGTTCAGTCGCTCCACAGCCACCAAGCATTGCTCGGCCATTGTGAGGTTGTTCAAAATACCTGGGCTCAAGATGGCTCAAGTAAACGGGGACATGTTGGCTTCATCTTTGAAAGCAATATCGAGCAAGTAAAACAGATAGGACAAATTAGGACAAACAGATACACACAGGGCGAATTCTGGGGAAGTTTCAGAATCAGCCAAAAAAAAAGCGACCGCATGCGACCGCATCTTGCCGTGCCAAAGGACCTTCCATGGCATTGCTCAGCTGCTGTGCATATCTCAAAGCCAATCCTGCAGCTGGGCCAGAGATTGCACGGCCTAAAGGACCAAGGTAGCGATGCAGCACCACCAGCAGAGCCACGACGGTTGAAACGATGGATCCCAAAAATTTCAAGCGAAATCCCAACCATTTTTGGCAGCCCATCTGTGTAAAATCCAATCGCAAACTTCGGGCAACTCGTCGTTCATTCTGGGCCATGAAATAGCCTTGTTTTCCATAGGCCCGAATGGTCGTCACCCCAACAATTGCCTCATCAACACCTTGGTAAATGGGACTTCGTGCTTTGCTGGCGAGGCGTTGAATTTCCCGGCCCGCTTTCCGGTAGACCTTCTGGATCCAATGATATGCAAAGAGAACAGGCACAAAAATGATGAAAACGATGGGCAGAACTGCACCGGCCACTACAACGCTTGCAAAAAGATCACACACGGCTCTGAGCAAGTTCTGCATGCTTCCCTGCAAATCCAGGTCAATCTTGGACATGTCAGAGGAAAAACGGTTGATGATGCGACCACCAGGTGTTGTGTCCAGCCAACTCATAGGTGCTCGCAGTACTGCCCACAGTGCCTTCTTGTGCATCGAAATGGCCAGAGCCAGGGAGCTCCATTGGAACATCAAAATGCGTCCCAAGGTGAAGAACAAAATGCCAAAGGCGATCACAGCATAGATGGCCAGAGCATCCCCCGTGCCCATCTTCGCTTGAACTTCAGGCCAATGTCCCAGCCACAGAGCAGATGCCAAGTATCCAACCGTGGAGATCAGGTTCAAAACAATGACCCAAAAGGCGCCACAGCCCATTGCACGCATGAAAGTACACCAGACTCGCAAACTCAAGTGACCCTCTTCCATATCTTCGGCACGCTCCTCGGTTTCCTGCACTACCACTGGAGCTGTATCTTTGCCTCTGTCCTGGACCGAGGCGAATGAATGCGAATGAGGCAACAGAACCTAACAGAACCTAGCAGAACATCACCTTAGGACCTTTGGCTCCGAACTGGCCCTGCTCACTGGAATGATTTCGCTCATTAGACTTCAGAACAAATGTAACATCTCCCTGCAATGACGCATGATTACACAGAAGTCTTGCAAGGGTGTCAAAATCCTTAATTGAGGACAGCACCAATTCACAGCACCAATTCCAGCAAACTGTTTGTCTTGAAACAACCTAAAACGTCCTGAAAAGGTTTTGAAGTTTGATGGCTCACACTGTTTCCTTTAGCCACTATGGAAAAAGCGTCCATATGGGGTCCATATGGGTCCATTGACTGTTCGTCTTTTGCACTAAGCGTGGGCATTGCATAGCGGTGAACATTAGACATCATTAGACACAGAAAGAGACACAGAAATAGACATGGGTCATGTGGGAAATAGATTGAGTTAAATACAGAACTGTTCATATGTTGAGTCCCATGATTCCCATGATTCCCATGTCCTGGGAGTCCTCTTCTGTCTTTTCTGTCTCTTTCGCATCACCCTCCGCCTCAACGGCCTCAACGGCCTCAACGACCTCAACGACCTCAACGGCCTCAACCTCTTCACCTGGTTGGCTGATGGCTCGCCGCAGCTCAACGGAGCTTCGTTTGGGATCTTGTGCTGTGACTGCTCGAGACATGCTGGGCGGATCGAGCTTCAGCTTGGCACGATCTGAAGCGGAAGTCCAATCAGTGGATCGGTCTGAAGCTGCTGCAGATTGCAATTCTTCTTTTGAAAACTCACTGGCTGGCCCTGCCGCTACTATCTCACCATTGCGCATAATCAGAACTGTATCTGCTTCTGATGCAAACTGAGTTTGGTGGCTGACGAGAATGCGGGTCTTGTTGGCGAGGTATCCCTTTGGTCCCAAGCAATTGCTGACCAAACTCGCCGCAACATGTGCATCCACAGCTGACAGTGGATCATCCAGCAGATACACCGAAGCCTGACTGTATGCTGCTCGTGCCAAGCCAATGCGTGCTTTTTGTCCACCTGAAAGGTTGATGCCTCCAGGGCTCAATGACATTGACACTATTTGACACTGACAGTGACTACGCACTCAAATCGCGATACAATATGTAGATGGGTCATGTGGGTAATGGGTCCTAAAACTATCCAGAACTGTTCTGACTGACTGTTCGACTGTTCAAGGACAACTATGGTTTTCATGATGGTTTTCATGGTCTCCAGCTCCTAAGGCCTCGCAAGTTGGTTTATTTGACATGTGAAGAAATACTTAAGGCGCAATACAAGGCGCCGTCTTGGCCTTTACACGGTTTACACGTGTGAGCACTATCCAAACGATATCTAAACCAAACCAACCGGGTTCGTTTATTTGTTTATTTTCTTGCCAGGTTGCAACAAGGTGAATGGAACAATGTTCCTTGTTGCACCTCGCTGCAACTCTTTATACTCTTTACATCTCTTTACTAAATGTAGAATTCCAGGAATTGGTTAATTGGTTGGGTCAGACCGTCCCTGTGAGATCATGATGTCGTGATCGAGCCTCTCTCCCCAATGACAGTGTCAGCTCCATTCGCCAGCTGCCTCAAGTCAGGAGTTAAGCAACAAGCCTCGACCACCTGAGAAAAGCGTTCCTCATCGAAGGTTTCACCAAAGGTGATGTTGTGCTGGACGGTGCCCTGCAGGATCCATGGAATCTGCGAACAATATGCCACAGAGCCCAAGAGCTCGACCGTTCCCAGTAACTGTGGTATTTCTCCCAAAATGGCGGACAGCAGTGTGCTCTTTCCGGCACCCACGGGGCCAGTCACCAACACAAATTTCCCTTGCAAAATCTGTAAAGTTTTGATGGAAAGTTGAGGTGCACGTTGAGGCACTATGGTATTCATCAAATTATCTCCAGATTCCAGCAATGCTTCAGCGTGTTGTTGTCTACGTCGGAATCGTTCGCAACATCTACGCCGGGTTTGGGCTGGTGGTTGAGCAAAGTCCTCATCTGAGTCATCTTCACCTGTTTTGGGCCACAGGAATTGTGCATTTTGAATCCGCACCGGCGCCAAGACGGGCTTGGCAACAGCCTTGGCTGCCATGGGCCGAGCCCGGATGAAACTCACCTCCGGCACACGATCATCCACTTCTTGGGCACGCAAGAGCTTCTCAATTCGCATCACGGAGACATAGGTTTGTGCCAGGTACTGCACGGTGATGGGCAACAAACTCATAGGCACTTGCAGCATATCGAAGATGGCCAAAGATGAAAAGACGACTCCAGCTGTGAGCTCTCCACCAAACAAAATGTACACACTGAATGTTGCCAGCTGGACAATGGCAGTTGCTGATCCACCAAACAGAAGACCCAAAACTGTCTGCCAGTACTTCAAATTGTTCAACAATTTCATTTCTTCTCGACGCTTCACATCGATCATGTCTGCTAATTGGTGTTCCCATGCCAGCATCTTGCCTCAGGCTCGCGAAGTCTTGTAAATGTGGCTATCAAATTCATAGGCACGATCACAAAGTCAACAGAAAAAGGTAGAAATAGAGTACAAGGCTGTATCTTGTGCAATTCTGTGATGATGATGATGATGATGATTGTTATTATCATTATTATTATTATATCATATATAAATTATGATTGTGGCGGTAAACAGTGCTGTGTCAAGAAAAGCCAAAGCCATAGCAGCCTTCTGTGAAAGCCGTGGTACATAAGCGCAAAGCGTGCAGCACTTCTGTGAAAAGCTTCACACGGTTGTCCCTGCAGCGATTCAACCCAGCACCAAGGGTCATCAATCGCGTAGTCAGAAGCTGGTTGAACTTGTAGGTGCAAAACATCACGAAAACGGGCATGAGACAAGCCCAGCCAAGCATTTGGAACAGTAAAACCAGCGCACCAATGAGCATAACAGGCATGGACCAGAGGTAAAAAAAGAAAAAGAAGGCTCTGGAAACTCTTTGAGTATCAACTTGCATAATGTTCACCAATTTTCCTTGACCATAAGATGCCAAAGACGTTTGTGAGAGTCGAATAATCTTGTTGAATACAAAGCAAGTGTAGCCTCCGGTACAGCGATATCCAATGCGGTTGCTGGTCATATCAAACTGGGAGTTGCAAAGACTACCGAGGATGGGCGCCAAAGCCACACATGCAGCATACACAAGGCTTGTTGAAGGTGCGGAGTCCAAATTGTCGATCAATGGCTGAATCATGCGAGGTGCAACAAAGCCCAAAGAAATCTCCAATGCATGAAAAAATCCAGCCCGCAACAGGAAACGCTTGTGGATTTCCCAGGAACTTGTTACAAAAACAATCTTCTCAGTCTCAAACCTTCTCCTCCAACTGTCTCCGATTGTTTCGCACATCTGCTGTGGATCATCTCCTACGCAGAGGTGTAGTGCATCTTCTGGTTCCAAATGCCTCTGCTGCCCAGTTCCAATCACATTTCCGAAGCTCCGAAAGGCAATATCCCAAGCGCGGAATCTTGGCAGCTCCATGGCAAGGACAAGAATAAGAAAGGGCAAGGGATGGCAAGGGGCAGCAGTGCTTTGTTTTGGTTGAGTCATGTTGATTCTTAATTCATATATTATATTATATAATTATATTAATACACATATACATTTTTGAATTCTTGGGGATCTGAATAGCCCTTTGTTCATAACATCAGATTTGGACGTTGAAACGTGGGGTGTCTCCTTTGGTAATCTATGCAAAATTTCGAAATGTTCACGAGTGCACAAGTGAAGCCTTGATCATGGCATATGTTGCATGAAATATCATGAAATATCATGAAATATCATGACATATCATGGAACTCTAACCCTGCAGGCCCTGCAGATTTTGGGATTTAAGGACATCCGACAGCACAAGAATCTCTGCAACGCACCTGAACCACCGATAGCAGGAAGAAAGGACTCTGGGACGAAAATGGTTACGTTCCCAACAGTCCACTCCAACCTCAGAGCAAGACTCCAGCTCGATGCTGGACTTTGTCATTCATTGTCATTCTCCAACAATTCTAGTGGCAGCGATCTGCAGTACCCTAAGACAAAAAACAACATGCAATAAGACTATTAACAACTATTAACATCAATATATTATATATTCACTATTGATCTTTTCTGACACATGGAAGATTTGGGACAGGGAAACAACGGAAACAACAAACACCTTGGCAGCTCACGCTGTGGAAAGGATCTCAGCAACCATCATCTCGTCACCCAGCTTGAAATTTGCCGTCCCCACCTCAGTGGACCTGGGAAATCAAACATATTCATGACAGATCAATGACAAATCAATGACAAATGACAGATCATCAGAGCTCTCAAAATCTGTAGAATATCTGCTTTCAAAATCTGAAACAAACATCATTCCTGTGTCTCTGATTCGAGAGATGCCTACTGTTGTTTTAAATGGATTTCAAATCCTCTGCGTTGAAATATGTCGAGATCATCGAAATCTTTTTATTTTGCAAAACACTTCTGTGTCAGGAAGCAGAACTTAGCCAAACACTTCAAGTGCTGAAGGAGATCGCGTTCACGCTCTGCCAGTGTCTTTTTGGTTTCTTGCCTCCAACAACCGAGAAACATTTTGGAACATGTTGAAACATGCAAACCTTCATAAAACTTCCCAAATATACAATATGTCCGGCCTGTGGCTCGAGGTCATTCTCTTCTTTAGGGGCAAAAACATCTTAAAATCCAGTCCTGCTTGATGCTGGGATAGACTTCAAATGTGCCAAATGGCATCAGTTTTGTTTCACAAACTTCTTTTGGCATTTTCCTGTTTGAGGTTTATTTAGTTTATTTGTATCATGACATGTTCACACTGACAGTTTGCACTTCTAAGCTACGTTCTCTAGCGCTGCGACTCTGCGACCCCCAAATATCTGATCAAGTCTTTCCTCCCAATTGATAAAAACACACAAAACAGGAGCTGAGTGCCCAAACACATCAAAGCAGCTCCATTCGGAGTTGTGCAGGCAAAGTCTTCCAGGTTCAATCAAGCTCGCAGAATCTTGGTGTCTCTTTTCGTCAACCTTGACACAAAGGACACAAAAGACGGTGCCAAACACCCAGAACCTAGACCATCTACGCCAAATGAGCATCAAATTTAAGCCTCCTTACAATATCTTGCATCACCTTTAGTCCTGAAGGCTACTGCTCTCAATATGAGTCTGTGATTCTGTGATTCCCTTCCTATTCCTTTCCTGTTCGTTTGTTGTGCTCTGCGCTCGACTCCAGTAGAAAACCACAGTTGCAGAGACTCCAAGGCTCCAACCTCCGAAAGGTCTGCTGGTTCTGTTGTTTCTGTTGACATTGGTACTGTCGTTGATGTCGATGTTCCGATGCTCTGTTCAGTGCTAAGCACACTTTCTGTGGTCGCCACGAGATTGCCAGTAAGGCTCAATTCTGAAGTGTACGGAGCTGGAGCAACGCTTGTAGAGCTTGTAGAGCTTGTAGTTGAGCTTGCACTTACTGTTGTTGTCAAGGTCGATGTCAGTAAACCAACCCTCGAGGTAGTTGTAGAAAAAGTCTCAGAAGTTGCAGCAGTTGCGGAAGTTGCGGAACCAGTTGAAGTGGTTGACACTGTGCTTGTCACACTTGACGTTCTAGTTGATGATCTCGTGCCTCAGCTGGAAATGGCAAACTGCAATGGAAATGCCGCTATCATTGTGCTGCGATAGAACTGATGAAAGCATCCTGAAGTGTTCAAAGATGCTAAAAGCATTATGTTACATCATTTACTTCATGTTTCTGCAAAAAAGTGGCTGGTGAATGTTCTCGTGAGAGAAGCCGACGTTGAGGTCACGGATCTCGTTGACGTCGTCAAAGATTGGGAAGATGTGTAAGTCGACGTAGCCGTTGATACGGTCTCAGTGAGTGTAGCACTTGATCTCGACGTTGTTGACGTTGTCGACCTTGTTGACGTTGTTGTTGTCGTTGATGTTGTTGAGGATGCCGTGGAACTCACAGTACTAGATGTTGATGGCAATAACTTGTAGCAGTTGTGGTCAATTGACGGCATAAAATCCTCTATTGGAGATGTCCAAACCTGCAATGCTGCTTGAGAAATTGCATGCCAAGATTCTGACTGCAATATACACAGTGTGGCTTGGCCTATCTATCCTATCTTGGAATTCTACATACTCATAGCTATAATTATTATGCCATATTTAGTGCATTTTAGTGCTATTTTCATGTTCGCACTGTTCGCACTTCCAAATGTCTGCTTTGGGCGGTGCATCGCCTCACATCTCTGGAAGAGCAGGGAGTACTCGATACCAACGCAGTCCTCAGCGCAGGGTTGCCGTGTTCCCTTTGGAATCCCTTGGAATCCCTTTGGACTCCCTTGGAATCCCTTGGAATCCCAATTCCCAAAGGGTCGAGTTGCAAGGTCGGCCACACAAAGGTCCTGCCCAGAATGAGTCTAAGAAAGAAAGAAATGTCAAACTTGTTAAATTTGTTAAATAATTCCTTGCAAAAATACAAGCCCGCATTTGCTTACATTTGATTCTTCACGTTTCGTCCGCAGATCATGTCATTCTGAATTCTCGCAATCGCACTGCGCAACTCATTTCGCCTTGCAGTCTTGCTCTGCGAGCACTGGCTCGTGTAGCGTGTAGAAGCCTGTGACAAGCGGAGTTGTTCGGCTGCACATTGGCTGGCGTGTACCATTGTCAGGCATGACTGCATGACTATACTATAAGCTTCTATAAGCTATAGGATGCTATAGGCTTGTGTCTCATTACAAACAAGGAGGCAAGAACTCCTCCGTGGCATTCTATCAATACCATTCATATCTACCTGCATGTAGATGATCGATGTTTGCCAAACAAGATACTGCAGAATGAAATCCAGCACCCTGTTCCACCCTGGACCCTCCATCCCGCTGCCCGGTTTCTGGGCACTGGGCATCACTGGGCCCTCCGGCTCACTGAATCGACTGTCCCTGGGCCACGGCATTCGACATCCAGGCCCACAGCTTCCCAGTCAGCGGCACGGGCCCAAGCCTTAGTTATCTCAGATCTCAGATTTTGAACAAAATCTTACATTTAGACTTACATTAGACTTACATATCTTACGTATCTTACATTAGACTTACATATCTTCACATCATTCATTTCTTGTTTTTCACTTGTTGTATCTGGTTGTCTGTTGAAGATCAAGATGATCAAGCATTTTTGGTGACTTCTCACGGAGCTTTGAACCTCTGGATCCAGATAAATATTGGATAAATATGGATCCAAATATGGATAATTAAATGATATTAAATGATAAATATAACATATGATCAATAAGGAATTAAATTCAAACACCTACAGCTTAGCTTTTCAAGAGCAATGACAGCGACAACAGTTTCCGCATCCCCAAGATTCTGAAAGGCAAGAATAGGGTGACATGGAGGAATCTCACCATGCATGCTGCCATACGCTGCCTAGATGGTGCAGGTAATTCCTCGCGCTTTTTGGTCTCAATTCCTGAAGCGTCATGTCTGCGCACATCATAACACCAGGTACTTCCACAAGGAAACAAGGGGTGACCATTACCATTGACCATTGCCGTCCACACCTTGGAAGGACAGAAACGCAACCCGCTCCCGGCAAAGATGCAAAATAGACGATGCCGCTTTCAAAACAGCATCACAGGCTGCTTCATGAAGCATAATTGGGATACCCAAAACAATGGGGATGCCCAAAACAGCTGGGGAACCACGTCAGTTTAACGTGGCTTAACCATCTCTTCTGACTCTGAGTCAACGACTACGCAAAGCGGTGGTCAAAATCGATCAGGAAAACTCAGGTAAACAGAATATTGATCGAAACACCTCCTTAGAAAATCTCGGAAACAGGTATTTGCCATCTTCATTTTGACCAGAAACGAAACTAATCTGTTTGTTGAATCTGTTTGAATGCCAATTGCATGCATTGCCTGCATTGCATGCATGGCGGCAAAATGGGCGGTTTAGCCTGGTTCCGGCTCAGTCATTGGGCCGATTGGGCCTTCCGGCAACAGATACCACATTGATTTGATAGCGGTTTCCTTTGTTGGGGAAGTTGAAACCCAAATGGGTACCAGCTAAGCTCACCACCTCTCCATCTGCAAGCACTCTGACATTCTCCTGTATGACCTCATCATCCCTAAAGGATGGCCACCCATGAGTAGATTCTCTGTGGAAGTCAGACCAAGTCCTGCCCTTTGCTTCGAACAAAGGTCTGCCTGTCACAGAGTCATAGAACATGATAGTGGAGTTCTCAACGGCTGGTTGGCCATTTCTGCAGGTAATTTTGTGCTTTCCCAGGAGCCCGGGAACTCTGCGAAGTGCCGGTTGAAACAGCCAAGCTCATCTGCTCTCTTGTGATCAACGCCCCATCGCAGTGGATTTTGTGGTGGTGCGACGCAAGTCCCGTGTAGCTTTTGAGACATGATTTGATGTGATCCCTTGAGCTTATGGGATGCCAAATGACCACCTCGTTCTCCACAGCCCTGCAAGCAGCTTGCCGTGAAAATTAGCACAAGCAAAGCAACCTTGCTCTTCTCCCAGCTGTTTAAGCTCACACTTCGCAAATCCATGGTCGGTCTCGTGGGTCTACAGTTGGGGGTCAACTCTTTCGAGTTAAGTCCACAGGTGTGGCTCTCCAAGCCAACTGTAGATTCGAGCCAAAGGGCTGCAGTCGCATGCAGTTGCAGAAGACTGAGTACCTTATGTACCTTAGGATATCTATGGATATCTATGGCATCTATGGATATCTATGGATATCTATGGATATCTATGGATATCTATATCCATGATTGCATGATCAACGATACCACAAGCACAGGTGATGTCCTTCAAAGACCTAAGATCTGGACCATGAGTACTGCCTTCCACCATATCCGTGGCATCCTGGACACTGGCGATCGAGGAATTCTAATTATTCATGGTATATCATGGTATCTTCTTTCTCAACATTTCTCAACATATTATTCAATGTACTATAATCTACTTCTCAAGATATCTCTACTCCTCTCGTGCTGCTCGATTCTGCTCGATTCTGCTGGGGAATGCCCACCAATTCCAACATTCCCATGGAAATATTTTCATTTTAAAACATCTAGCCTCCAAGCCACCAGCGCGCCGCTGGGACTATCGCTTTGGGCCAAATTTTAGTTCAAAGACGAGTTCAAGGGAGCAAAGGGAGCAAAGGGAGCAAAGGGAGCAAAGGGAGCAAAGGGAGCAAAGGGAGCAAAAGGAAACAATTTGCAAAGGAAACTCTGAGACTAAGCTCCCTGCACTCCAAACTCATTCGAAAATTCGACAAGCCGAATCTAAAATTCGAATCAAAACGTCTTAGAATCGCTTCAAACACCGCTCTGCTGGGCTGAGAGCCTCTGATCTCTGAGACTCTTTGAGACTCTTTGAGACTCTTCACGCTTTTGTCTCCATGTGTCTCCATATCGCATATCGCTCTATTGCTCCAGATTCAAACTGAGAGCGTGAAACCGATGAAGTGAGTGATCTTACTTTGGCCTGCAATGCCACTTGACACTGCTGGCTGGATCATGTGGAGAGTCTTTACATTGGGGTCGACATGGGGTGCCTGCAACAGGGTTGAAAACAAATTGATTAAGCATTGAAGCTTTGAAAGTGACACACATCTCATTCTTTTGATACTCCCAGGCCTGCGCTGATTGCTGTGGCTTCTTTGGTATCTACAGGTGTTTCACCCTTTGGCACACCAGCAGTCTCTTGCCCTCTCACCGTGCGCGTTTCCTGCTAAAACAAGTTTCAGGAGCAGAATGAAGTTCTCCAATTTCAAATATGTTCAAATGCTTCTCCTGTCATTCTGAAATTGTGCTATGTGCATATCACAAATTTGTCGCCGCCACGGCGGCACGGACTGTTTTCTGTCTCTGGATTTTCTGCGCCATCATTTCTCCGATCCTCCTGGCAAACTGAACCATGTTGTGCCCTGGAAATGACACCGCATACATCTCCGAAACAAAGACACCACATACCAAGCATAGCGGCGCTGGCCTGAATGTTGGGAAAACGACAAACAGCAAACATCATCAGCATAACTACATAAATCGATATAAATATAATTAAATATAAATCATACACTATCATACAATCCTTTGAGATCCTTTGAGGTTATCCACTACCTGCGGCACAACAATATAGGCACCTTAAAGGTCGGAAGTGGAGAAGGTTGGAAACGCTCCGCGTTGGGACGTAAATGCCAGGCGTGTGCGTGACGGTTGGGACGGCTGTCTCCATCCAAAGTTCCCACGGCCGAATACCTGCAAATCAAACAACTGAACCTTAACTGAACCAAGGCCAGCTGTGGAAAATTGAATAGAGCATCATATGATATATATGACATATAATGTGTAGAACATATTCAACATGTTCCAAAAGATCTACAGCAAATAATTCAGCCTATGTCTCTTGATATGTTGAACATGACTCAACGGTATTCCTTTGTGGATCGAACACCATCGAACACCTTCCCCATCAAATTCCCCTTGCCTAATCCCATGGAGCTGAAACCAAGGTACTTCTGGCATTGAAATCCTGCAGCCTCTAAGGCTTTTTGGAACTTCTCCCGTGCCGATTGCGCCGTGTCACGGCACAGGGACGTTTTTTCGATGACAAACAGAGATCCTGGAGGCGAGAGCCGCAAACAGCGGCGCGCACGGTCCAGCATTTCCTTAAGTCCAAAAGACTTCAAAGACCTGAACTTGAGATCCTTAAAATCCAAAACTCACTAGAAGTTCTTGGAGAATTCAAACCTCGAAACAACTCTGTTTCATGATCTTGTTATGTCTTGAAATCGATATGATTCAATTTCAATCTATAACACAGAAAAGTCTCACAGGCCCAGTGCCATGTTTGGCGCCATCTGGAGCAGGCAACTCGCCAATATCTCTTTGAAATTCTTTTAATCTCAGATTCCCCTTATAAGTAATCTAAGTAGGAGGCCAATACTGAGCCAATACTTCCATAATTCCTCACTTGGAAGTAGGGAAACATAGGGAAACTAAAACGATTGCTGACATGAAAATCATGGAAGTAGGACAAGTATCTCGCCGTAGTTCGGGCGTTGGCAAGAAAGATAGCACAAGGCTCAAGACCACTGCGTCAAAAGCACCTGCACGTAGAGTTTGAAGCTCTCCATGCGCATTGATCTCAAAGACGTCGCCGTCTTTTTCCTAGCGCTGGCAATTCTGAGCCTGTCCATCAAATTAGATGGAATATTGATTTTGGAAGTCCTCTTTGCACTTGTTTGACTCACTTTAGATCACTTTAGCAATGTCACACATCGTGAACCATCGCTATAGTCTTTCAAAAGCGCAAATCCGCAGTGGCTGCATTGCATTTGAGAAAATTACATGATCACCTGCAAAAGAACCCTCATCGTGTAGGGTCAAAGTGTCAAACTCTGAGCAGTCATATCCCTACGTGGGGCCACGTGGATACGGAAATATACGGAATCATCCAACAGCTCCAGGCTTTCCTAAATGGTACATTGTCTGGTACAGAATGGTACAATATAATATATAACTAACTAATATATAACTAATTTGATGCCATATATCATGATTAATATTCTGCCCTGACCACTCAAGTGCCAATCTCCTCCATCTCCATTTCCTCAATTTGGAGTTGCAAGAAGTCTGCACGCCAAACGCTGGGAGCAGCAGGCGCCAAATCCAAAGCCAAGGATTTCGGCAGGGAGTCCCAGGCTCCATAGCTGCTTCCAACATCCAGGAGGCCTGAGGAAGAAACGGGGAAGAACATCGTGGGAAACTTGGGAAACCCATGATGCGTTCCATGCTCCACTCTGGTCACCTGTCGCAACTCTGTTTGTGCAATCCACTTTGGATTATCTCTAAACATATATAGAAATATCAAACTGGCAAATGATGGCAAATGAATAATTACACATGAAACAGTATGGAAGATGATGGAAGATGATGGAACAAAAATGAACCAAGGGGTTTTCCGAAAAAAATGCAAACTGCTTGGCCCCGAAACAAATCACGCCGAGCTTCGGATGTCGCCTGCAGCTCCTGCGGACCAGACTGCCAAAAAGATTCAGCAAAACACTGAGCAAAAGCAGAAAAGGAACCTATACTGACTATACTGTAGATAATGATAAATAATGATAGATAATGATATAGATAATGATGGATCACGGATTGGTGGAGATTCAGACATTAGACATGCTCTGGAATGAAACAAATAAACTTACTTGAATGAGTGTAGAACATATGAGCACAAAACTCTCGCGCATGTCAGCGTGCCAGTGGAACACGGCTTAAGGACATTGGAAATCGGGAAATCAACGACTTGAAACAACTTCCATCTTCGATCAACTTCGTTATTTGAATTTGTTGAACAAATTTGTTGTGTCTTCTTTATAATTTTGTATATTTTGTTGTTTATTCGGTTTATTCAACTCGTATTCAACTTGGCCTGGTGTCAACACCTCGAGCTCGTCGAGAACCCACTGCACCGTGGCTTTGCTCCAGGACTTGCCTTCGATCGACATAGATTGACACGGATCAAATGCACTCGGTAAAGAACATGAGAAGAAAATGAAATCTGATGAAATCTGTCATTAATGCCTATAATTTCTTATCACGTGCCATTTGAGCTTCTGATGTCACTGATGTCACCATAATAATATTATATACTATTCATGGTATCGCGTCATATCGCGTCATATCGTGTCATATCGTGTCTCTGGGTGTTCTGCTTTAATGGCCATGAAATCTGACATTGTCGTCGTTCCTGGAAGTCTCTCGTCTACATCGCCCTTTGACAACAAAAAAGTGCAGGGACTATTGATGACGATTAATATTGATTACAAGGTGTTTCATAGTTTAACTTATTTGAATAATAGGGCAAGATAGGGCAAGAGAAAGGGTTCAGAATAGTTTTGATTTTTTCTTTTGGCTCAGGTTTTGTTTTTTTTGTTGCTTTCTTTCTTGGTACCATTTGCCTTGTATTTGCAACAGTTTGGAACTAGAATCTGTCACTTTGCATGGTATGTGCTACATTTTGGCATGGTTACTTTGCATTTTGCATCGTATTTGCTACATTTGGGCATGGTTACTTTGCATTTTGCATGGTATTTGCTACATTTGGCCATGTTCGCCTTCCATTTTGCATGGTATTGGCCACGTTTTGGCACTTCAACCTCTCATTTGCATGGTATTTGCTACATTTTGGTACTTCAAACGTTCATGTGGGTTTCCTGAGAGTTTCTTTAGGCTTTCGTTTAGGGTTTCATTTAGGGTTTCATTTCAGGGTTTCTTATCAGGATATCTTATCGGGATTTCTTATCAGGATTTTCAAACGTTCATGTGGGTTTCTTTAGGGCTTCTTTAGGGTTTCATTTAGGGTTTCATTCGTTGGGGTTTCATTCGTTGGGGTTTCATTTAGGGTCTCGTTTGCGGGTTCTTCAGGGTTTCGTACAGGGTTTCATTCAGGGTGTTTTAGTGTCGTTTCGGGTTTCTTTAGGTTGTCATTTAGGGTTTCATTCGTTGGGGTTTCTTATCAGGATTTCTTTGGGGATCCTTTGGGTTTGACCTAGGGTCTTTGGGGTTTCATTTAGGATACAAACAGGAGAGAATAAAGCACAGGAAAATAACAAAAACAAAGAGGCAGTAAAAACAGGAAGCAGAGAAGCAGAGGAGCAGGAAGTAGGACAGCAAAAACACATGACTGAAGAAAAGAAAAAGTAGAATAGTAGAAGTAGAAAGGCACAGAAGCAGAGAAGCAGGGAAAGCAGGGAAGCAGAAAAGAAAAGAAGTAGACAAGCAGAGAAGCAGGAAAAGCAAAAAGCAGAGAAGCAAAGAAGCAGAAAAGCAGAGAAGCAGAACAGCAGAAAAGCAGAGAAGTAGGGAGGCATAGAACCAGGAACCCCCAAAAAAATCCAAAACCTGCCGCGAAAAAAATAAAAAAAATCATAGCCCTCCCAAGAGAAATGCCTTGATATTGTCCTATATGACAAGATGCAAACCGCCCACGACCGATTCAAACTTGTGAAGTCAAGCAACTGCCCACGACCGGGGCAGACCGTCCTGATGCTGAAACCAGAATGCCGCTTCATTTGAAATATTCTTTGATTGAAAAACAAGACAATTCAATAAACAATCAATACAAGATAATACAAGCAATCTCGGGCGCTTTGAAGTCGCAAGAAAAAACAAAACAAATACATCATCAAATAGAGTAAAATTGAACATACCAACTGCTCAACAAACTTGGACGTCGAGATGAGTCGAGACGAGTCGAGTCGAGAGTCTGTAAATTTCAAGTTCTTCGTCTGAAAGCCATAGCTGCTGCCGTTCTCGCAACAGCTGGTGAATGGCCTCTTGCGCTGCAAAGGCTTCCTTCCTCACAGCAGCAGCAACATCAGCAACCAGAAACAGCAGTTTGTTGCAAATTGTAACACAATCAAAGCTGAACTAAGCTGAACCAAACTGATCAACCAGCTAATCAAAATCAACCTCAAGCAAACAATTATAGGGTGATCTGGCTGCCAAGAAGTCAACTGTTCTGTGTTTGTTGCTGTGTACAAACATATTGAGAGCCAAGACGAGCCCAGATGAGCCAGGTGCCTTGTCAGAATCATCAGAATATATCAGAATATATCAGAATATATCAAAAAACACGGAACACTTCCATAAAACATCATAACTGCCATAACACTTACCTGATCTTAAAGGTCTTACCATATCTTACCATATCTTTGCATCTGCTTTGCATCTAAATCATCTAAGGAACGCGAGCTGTCGACGTCTGCGCATCTGTCGTAGCTCTTCAGCCACCACTGCAACCTCCTGCCCTTCGATGGCCTGGGGCAATGTCCCATGAATCCACCCACACCATAAACACCATAAACATCAAACAGAAACCCTACAGTATCGTCTAAAACATATTAGCATGTTCAAAATGTAAACATGTTCAATCATGTTCAATGAATATATAATTATATAGTATAATATAATATATTTCAATCGGGTGTCAATGTTCAATCTGTAAATCTCACATGCCAAATGGCTCAACGCTGTATGTCAAATATGGCTCAACGCTATAAATATAGTATAATATAATATTATTTCAATCTGTATGTCAAATCGCAACACATGTGTCTTGGTACAGAATGGACATGTCAACTGTCAACTTTCTTGAATTGCTGTTACACATCACGTGGTCCATGTTCATTGCTTTGTGTTTCCATTTTGCAATATTTTTCCCATTTAATGCTCTGCCCCACCGCACCCCACCCATGAAGGCTTCGTCTTCTCGATCTCCTCCACAGTCAACTGATTGATGCTTTGAGATGATTTTTCCGCCACTCCCCCAGCAAATATTCGTCAATTGACCACAGGATCAAGCTGAACTCATCCGTTCAAAAGTATTCAAAAATAAATATTGTAAATAAATATAGCAAATATAATTTAATGTATAATATCAATGTATTACAGTGTATCTGATCTCATTGATCTCTATACAAAAATTCAAAATACTCACGACACATTCGCCAGTCTGATCCTCTGCCAGGGCCACTCCAACCACTCGGAGCTGCTGGCAGAACTGTCCTCGGAGCGTGCTGCATGACATACTGAATCATACTGACCTTGCTGAGTCTTGTTGGCATTGGCATGGCCCTTTGGTGCGATATGGTGCGATGGTAATGCAAAAGACTCTGAAACTCACCGGCATCCAAGTTTCTTTCCGAAACATCCTGGCCTTGGCAAATGTTGAAAGTTCGCACCGGAATTGCAGTTTCGACGTTCACGCCGTTCACCACAAAAAAACACACACAGATGGAGTCATAGGCATGTTCAGATTTGGGCGGTGCCTGTTTCTTCGGCGCAAACTTCTTCCACCGCTTGGAGCAGAATTGTTTCGTGTTCTGCTCCGCCCTGTGAAACACTTGGCAAAGAGTGAGATGCTGTAATGATCTGTGCAACATTTCTGGTATATGATCAACGAACGTGTTTAACACATGGGTTGGCTTGGGTTTGTTGCGAAGCCATTTCCAACTGTGAACTGGTTGACAAGCAATAGAAAAGGTTTGTCAACGCAACTCAATGATCTCAATGAGAATTCCCGGTGAAGAGAGGTGGGTATGACGGCAGGGTATGCTCCTTTCGCTCCTTTCATATCCTTTCCCCACATCTTGCCACACCTGACGGAAGCGCCGCTGCAGGAACGCCAAGAGTGTGGCGCGAGCATCTCTTTGGGTGCCTACAGCGGGACACAAAAAATCGAGTCAACCTGGATCAACCCGGATCAACCTGGATATGGATGGCATCCAATGGATATGAGTGATATATGGGTGATATATGGGTGAAAGGAACTATACGGGCACATTTGTTGCGGTCTGCTGTTTAGTTCATCAGATCCTCGTGTCCATAGGAATATGATGGAATATGAATATGAATGGGCTGCATACGTCTGCATTGTCATTCCCAAATTATCAAACATCTTCACACATTTCACACCTATTGTGAAGTCTGACATTGAAGAACTCAAATCTGCGTTGAAAACGAAACCATTGCATCTTGGTTGCCACCGGCTTGGGTCACTGCTTCACCAGAGTGAACCGCCATAGTGACATGGCAGCAGTAGAATGATACGAGCCATGTATAAATAGAGTACGAAAGGATTAAAGGATCCACATATGATCCACTTTGTTGAACTTTGTTGCTTTATATAGTCACTTTAGTCTCTCAAAATACCTTTGAAAAGGTCGGAAACGGTTTCAAACATCAATGGAAATAGTTCATATACCTTTATGATCTGAGGGGCATCACATGTTGTCCTGTCCATTGTTGCATCGTGTGGATCCAAAAGCGCTTCTCACTTGCTGTTTGCGACCATATTTGTGGGGCAAATCTCATCGATTACCGTGATACGTGAAGCTGCAAACGCATCCAACGCCGCAATCGCAAAGAAAAACCAAGCTGAAAACCAAGAGTCTCCAGAAAAATATGGAAAAATCCTGTACCACTGACATAGCCCCAAGATGCCCCAAGCATCTAGCTGATTCTAGCTGTACATTCACGCTTGAATCTTGTCAAGCCATGCCAATCCCTCCAGCTGAATTTGACACACAACGTTCCTTGGACGATGAGTTCCAGAAACCAATGGAAACCACGTAGTGACCAAAGCCTGACAAAACATCAAAACATATCAAAACGCGTTGAAACACATCAAAGATCCAGACATCATTATCATCATTGTTATTCATTGTTATTGTGTTTCGATTATGTTCACATACGCATGGTCCATCATGAAACTTAGCTGGTTACTCTGCTCACCGTGGTCCCACAAGTCTTTGTCATTTTCCGGAGCCTTGCAGCCATGGGATTCAAACTTACTTTGGTGCCTTCCAGAACTCCCCGAAATCCACGGTGCCATCACCATCAGAATCAAAGACCTTGCACCGTCAATTTCATTTCAGACATGTTTAGTCGCTTCAAGCGGCACAAACAACCGATTTCATGTTGCTATTGTACATATCTTAACTTGATAATAATAACAATAACAAATATTACTATAAATTGCAGCACTTGACACATGAATTTGCACCAACGATCGCAGAAACAGCAGCAAGGCGGGTATGAATCAAAATTATGTGATTGATCCAACATAACCAACATAATTTAGACCACACATGGTTTAAATCTATCACCGATATGTTTTGTCGAAATATAGCCATATAGCATTCACATGGCGGCCTCCATCATATCGCTGACTTCTTCAAGGCTAGCCTGGTGCACAACATGATCATCTGATGCCCTGAACTCAGAGGACTCTGATCATCTCTGATCTGCCTCCACACCCACTTGCTGCAAAGCACGCTGCAATTCCAACTTGTTGATACCTTGGAGGCGAATTCAGTCGAACCACTGTGCCTTATACCCATTTATACCCTCTGCCACCAAAGAAGGAATTTGCAACGCTGCAACTGGCTGCAACACTGCAACACAACATAAAATGATGTGTCTCTACATCTGTTATAAAAATGGACACCCTCAGCACCATCTTGAACTCGATCTTAGAATCGTTCATATTTCACTGGAATTGAGGGCAGGGACTTCAGGGCCCCGACGACCGTCACCATCAACATCGAGCCCTGCGAAAATCTCCGCACCTGCACCCTCGGCCTCAGGTTGAAACTGCATCACCGGTGAAGTGCACGTCACAACTCTTGGGAGCAAACAGCCTTGCTCATAGCAACACTTCCACCAGCCTCAAAAGCGCCAAGCAATGCTCATAATGCTCTTATAATATCTTATATTTTCTTATATGTCCTTATAAAGATGGCACTTCGATACGTTTTTTCTCTGTTTTTTTCGCTTCGTGTCATGGGGTGTCATGTCATTGTGTTTTCATTGTGTTTTCTCTCCACCTTGTACTCCCAATGGCCACACGAGCCGTACTCAGCTTGTCGATGCCTTTGTCAAGCAATCTCTGCACAATGTCCGATGATGTCCGATGTGAAATCTGAACCCGACAAGAACCGACAAGGCTCCGTCTGAGTGCAAGGCATTTCCTCGGTCCGTATTTGCACCTCCAGTGACTCTGCAGTCTGCACTCTGATGCACTCTGCAACTCTGGCAGAGATGCGAAATAATCCCAAGTTCAGAATTTGAAGCTCCTTGAAGCCAACGTATTTCTCACAACCCCTGCCATCAACGCTGTTTTTGCCACTTTCAAGCAACTATCGTATCTCCGTATCTCATCGTATGTTCCATGGTCAAAAGATGTCTGTATTATATTGGGTTGTGGTCATCCCATCGCTGTTAATCCGCAAATTCAGCATCACAAACTTTATAAACCCCTATATCCCTTATCAATGGTTGGTGGTATGACCATCCCCCAATACCATGGCATATCATGGCTGAGATATCTCAGCGGCTCATAACAGGTGCACCCGGTTGAGGGCACCAACCGCCTGCAAAATCATGCGTGCGCATGCGTGCGCTGCTTCAAGGTCCTCATGGTTTGGATGACATCTCAACAGGTCACCCGTTGGTCGATTCCAGGTCGATTTCAGAAGTTGTCGCAGATCTGCTGGAGCAACCGCGCAGAGCTTGTCGTAGCACAGGGGCCACAGGGGCCACAGGGCCATGGAGAGCCATGGAGGGGCCATTGATCTTTTGCCACGTCCCCTCCTTCAGAAGTTTCCGATTGGCTCGAAACAAACATATCTTACATGTATCTAATACATTGATTTTCTTACTATACATGAATTTGTATAAAGATCTTGATCTATCTTGATCTTATGTCATTTGCGGTGAACAAAGCAACTGATCCACCTGTTAGGCTTTTCAAATACTGGCAATATCCAACAATCCAACAATGCAGAGATAGTCGGTGGACCATGGGCTAACCTTGTGATGACCATCATATTGTCATATGACACGACGAATGTCAGCGGACTGAATCCCACCTACAAGGCCTCGTTCGGTTCTGTATCTGTTTCGGTGTCCTAAGATGTGAGAGACACTGTGTAGAGACAAACGTGATCACAAGTGATGATGAATGTGACAGAATGTGACAGAATGTGAAAAAATGTGTGACATTGTTGCGCTATGCTACACCATGCTACACCCTTCCAACTGCGAGTAAGTCACATCGGTCGAAACAGCTTCTCCGTTCACCTCCTCGCTTTTCTGGTCGAGGTTCACAACATCCAGCAGCACTGCCAAAGGAGCAGCAATCAAGGTACCTTGGAGTCTGGGGAGGCTACATTGAATCTGCATTGATCCACGCAGTGCTGCATGATGCCAACATGATGCTGCATGCTGCATGAGTCCAGGCAGGATATGGCAGGATGTTGGGTGCTTCTTGGGAATCAGTCCATCAATTCAAACATATCAAACATCAAACAGCTCACACTTCATGCCAACTTTTTCTTCCGGAGGCCTCAAGGAGGCCTAACGGCTCAGAATGGCGATCCATTCAGAAAGTATCAGCACACTATCAGCGTAGCCTATCGGTCTCTTAGTGCGTCTCTCAGTGCTTGTGGTGCTTGGCCTCGACTGGCAACTCGAGCATGTTGGGCTCGGTGTGCATGCCAACAATGTCTGTATCTCCGATCTTGTTTGGCCGGTCCAGCAACTCATAGTTGGGATCATGACATTTCTCCAACAAGGGAAGGGATGCATCCAAGGTCACCTCAACAGCCCTGGGGAGCATGAATCGACCATTTCGGTAAGTTCCAACGAAGTTGTTGCCGTGGACGTGCGCCACCTTGAAGCCTGCGCTCTTCAATTTCTGCATCACTTGGAGGAATTTCGCATGTTGCTTTTCCTTCCAGAGACCATGGAACTCGATGAGCAGCTGTCGAAATTTCTTCAGCAAGGAGACGTCGGCTTCCAGCAATGTTGGCCATTCTCCACGCTCAATGTCCATCTTCATCAGCAAGCTGCGATCTGGCACGTCCGTAAAGTTTGACTGTTCAATGGCCTCTTTCAAGGTCCAACTAGTCTTGCCCTCGAATTTCGAAGACAAACAAGCTGGGAAGAACTTGCACTTGTCGCAAATTTGTGCTGGGTGGGAAACAGTGCAGTCGTACTGGAAGACCGGGACGTCGAAAGCCTTGTACACGTCCAAGGAAAACTTGTCATGTTTCTGCACACCCATGGAGTAAGCTGCTTGCAAAGAGGAAGCATTCAAGGAGTCCATGCAGAGCAAATAGCCACCATCATGCTCTTCCCCAAATCGCTTCCAATTGTTGCACGTTCCACAAATGGAGAAGCTTTGGAACAAGTCCCTGGTGACTCCGAAAGGCAACTGATGAGCAAGGTGCTGAATGGCACTTGCGCCGGAAGTAGTCTTACGCAATGATGTAGCATGAATCTGCCCAAAGAGCAGAAACAAAAATGCTGCGCGGAAGGAATCCATGGCGGAGTTCATGATATAAGCGAAAGATCGTGATTTGATGCACAAGTAAAACTTTGAGCTTGGGCAAAAGAATGCCACAATTGGAAAACTATGGCACTTTCAGAGCACGAGAGCATGAGCCTTTAGATGGCTTTAGAACATTTTAGAACTTTAGATTCATCCAAAATTCATCCAACTCCAAGGCCGCAGGAAGTCGACAACTTGGTGAGGGCTGTTCATGGCTGTTCAGGGCCAAGTTGCCGATTGCAGCGGTCCAAACCATCGACCAGTTCCTCCAGGTATATCCAGGTATCAATCTGTTGAAAGATTCACCCGCTGTCGTCCCACTCATTGGAAGAATCATGAAGAATCTGTCTTAACGAATTCCCATTGCTGTTGCTACTCGCCTCAGGCCAATCAACAGTAATCCAAAACATCGAAGAACGTTTGGGACATCCATGAGCTGTGGAAGACCAGTCAAGGTGGCAGCAATGTAGGAAAAGCCTCAGGTTTCAGCAATGTTTTGAGGTGTTGAACCCAAAAATGGAATCCAAAAATGGAACCCGTTGAATCCAACCTTTGCGATGTTGTGCCCTGTATCATCCTGTCTCAGATGTATCACATTGTCATAACGGTCATAACGTATCCATTTTGAGTACTAAAAAACCAACAGCAATTCCCGCCCCACGCTGATCATTGCTGAGCTGAGACTTAGTCTTGCTCTATGCCCATTCCAGGCACCTGGAGTCTTCCCAAGTCCTTTTAATTATATGATTTATATGTGTATTTTTAGTTCTCAAACAAGCGGCATACCAGGACAGGAACAGCCATGCTCCTTGTTCAGGCACCAACAGGAATGAACCCTGTTGCTGCCTGTTGCTGCTTCCCAAAGCATCGGAGAACATTGAGAACATGTTCAAAACATTTCAGAAATTCTACGCCAAAGACATGCAATGACCATGTCATGTGATGTAGTCCCGCGCTGGTGCGCCCACAAGGGAACGAACACAATGAACAGCGAGAAAATCACCTGCAGGTAGAGCCAACAGCTGCAAACTCGGTAACTGACACGAGGCCGAGTTGCAACAAGTTTAAACATGTTTAAATTATTTATAATTATTTCAAATCTCTAAAAGTAAGGAATTTGAAGGTCACAAACTCGAACCACTTCACACGTGAAACCGAAACAGTGCACTCAGTGCACTCGGTGGACTCAGTGGACTGATGTGGACTGCCCTGCCTGAAGCAAGACGCGAACGCCTGATGGTGCCATTGCCCCCGACATCATGTGGAAGTTCTCTTCCAGACATTGCCTGACCATGCTGCGGCTGCTGGTCAGGTCGATATGTCGAACACATTCCTGACAAATGGCACCACGAATACATGGCACGCAAGAATATGGAAAGTATAGTCTCATCCCTGTCTCAAATGTTGTTCTGGTGCCTTCCAGAAGTCAGTAAGGCAAGGAGAGCTGCCAAAATGGAAGCAAGCAGCTGCATGAAAATAAACACCATAGCACCTCGAGCGCGCAGAAAATAGAATGATTCGGAATGATCGAATACAATTGAGCGATATTGAGAGTGACATTGAATGATATGTCAGATATGTCATGTAGAGGTTGAGAACACGTTCAAATATCTAACATCATCTAACCATATCTGAACATCCAATCCATGACCATGACCATCCTGACTCGAACACAACGAGTCACAAAGAGTATACAAAGAGTCACAAAGAGTCACAATGAGTCACAAAGAGTCACAAAGAGTCACAAAGAGTCACAAAGTCGTCCGAAAGACGCTTCAGCGGCATTTCACCTTTCATTGCAAGAGCCAAAGTCACCTTGGTCCGAAAAATTGCAACCCAAACAGCTTCATCTCCAGAAGCGAAAAAAAGGTCCTGCGAGATCCTGCAGGCTAGCCTCTTCCTATTCCGTTCCAGCTTGAACATGTAGAAATTTATACTCAATAAACATATATAAACATACACTATAATTTACTAAATACATCTAAATACTAATTGAAGATTAATTGAAGTATATCTCACAATGTGATATCTCATTACAACACATCGCATCCAAAGGCACTGCTGGATTGAACTGACCCCCAAAGTTGCCGGTCTTATCGCCCTGGTGCAGCGCTCAACATTGACCGAAGCATTGACCCAAGGATGGGCTCGAGTTGTTGCAGTTCTTGCAGTTGTTGCATCATGATGAAATATGATGAATGATGGGCGTTGATTCGTTGCTTCATGTTGCTTCATGTTGCTTCATGTTGCTTCTTAATCCCTCAGAATCCAGTATGAGCTTCCTCCAGAAACGTAGTTCACCAGGCCCCGTGACTGGTTTTGCGGTGTTCGTGGCAGGTTCATGGCAGATTCATGGCAGGCCAAAAGAAACAATTGCCCCAAAAACAGATACGAAGTGATGAGCAATGTATATGCGCCAACGTGTCAATTTCGGCAACTTGGATGCAACAAAAATAATGCACTGATCTACAAACTCCATATCCTCCATGTCATAGATGTTACTTTAAGACATTTTAAGACTTGAAGGTTCATTTGTCTTCAAATATCTCCCCAAATCAACTCCAATATCCGCAATATTTACAATCTCCAGACCTGGCATGTTAGAATATGTGAGAATGTGAGACGCATCTGCCGCCTTCGCTTGGAATGTCAGACCATTGGCCACACCGGCAGCGAAGCCCGTTGCCAGTGAGACTTGAACGTTCAGCGTTGGAGGAGGACACGGTTTACTCTCACCCTGCCTGGCAGATTCAGAAAAGCCCAGGTCAAGGGCTCAGCTTTGAATCGAATTAATCATGGTTAATCGAGTTGCTGAGTTTGATGCACACATTGCAGACTCGTTTTTTTCAATTTTATTCAGATTCATATACTTCATTGTATTATATGATCATATATGATCATTATATTTCCCTATTGGCTACGGTTCATCCATGTTCATCCTATGATCCTAAGTTTCCCTCCCATCAGAACCTGCTGCAGGCGGCCAAGCACTCTGTCGCGGATACCGTTGAACACATTGACACAAAGACCCAAAGAGTTGTCACAATGAACCTCACAGGGTTCAATTCACAGGGTTCAATGGCAAGTTGGACAGCAGCTCTGACCAGAAAACATGTCTTCACAGTTTTAAAACCCTGATGCCAAGCTGCTCCTGTGCAGCCAATCGCAGCTCTTTCCGCGAGAAGATCTCCATGGCACGTTGTGTCCGACAGCTGCCAGCTTTGGTTGGCATTTTCTGATATTTTCTGTACATAAAACTCTTGAGCAAAAAGCACACAGTGCAGAACTTTCATGAACTTTCCTTCGTTCAACGGGATGAGGATTACTTCCAGTGTCTTGCCATATTATGACAGTGACATGCCGTCAGATACCGACTTGACCGACTTGTACTCATCCCAAAGCACACTTGTGTTGTAACATATTGATTAACATCTTAGAGCATTCATTTTGGTTATTTCGGCCACTGCACTTGCAAGGCCTCGAAAGGCTGACCATGACGTTCTGCCACCAGGTGAAGCGAACGATAGCCATTGGGCTGCAGGGCATTCAAATCACTTGACTTGGCATAACTTGGCATGAAATCACCTGTAAATTTAATGCAGCATGAGGCAACTCTGCAATCACAGGTCCAGTCACTGATCTTGCAGATTTCATCTTTCAGTTCATGCAATGTTGATGTTGCAGTTTCTGCCGCAGCAACTTTTTCCTTTCAGATGGACGCAAACTCCTCCTTTGGTTCCGGCCCTCCCGGGTGCGACCCAGGAGGGACTCCTAAGCCGTCCACTGGCTCACCTCCAGTGGATCCTCCCCCCGCCTGCAGTGGCAGCGTCCAACCTGCGTGAAATTGGGAGGGGTGGGCAGGGAAGCAATTTCACATGCCCAGGGGGGAACTTGAACCTAAAGACAGCATCATGTGCAAAAACTCTGACATGACAAGTCATGAGCGAGTTCATGCAATGTTGATGTTGCAGTTTCTGCCGCAGCAACTTTTTCCTTTCAGATGGACGCAAACTCCTCCTTTGGTTCCGGCCCTCCCGGGTGCGACCCAGGAGGGACTCCTAAGCCGTCCACTGGCTCACCTCCAGTGGATCCTTCCGACTCCTGTCTTAGGAGTTCCACCTACCAAAGAATTTGCGACCCGCCATCTTTCTTCTCACCTTCTCCTCTTTCTCACTTTTCTTCTTTTCCTTAAACCGCTGCACCTCACTGTAGACTGTAGATCTCGGGCAACAGCTCGCCCAAGACTACCCATCTGCAGTTTTCCTTTGTCACTCGGATCCTCTTGCTCATCTCGAAGGCATGGTAGTCCTGGTTCGTGAGGTCATCTGCCCTCTGGTTCTCATCCCTCCGGATCCACTTCAAGTCCGCCGTGGCGCCCAGGCACCTAAGCGTCTCGCTGACCTCAATCACCAACAACGCGATAGGGAACTTCGTAGACATCCCCTTCTTCAGGATGAATTCGTTGCCCCGGTTGTCCGTGAATGCCTCCGTGTGGACGCAAAGGTTTTGGGTCCCATCTCCCAGCCACAGCTTGACAGCGACTAGGGTTGCTAGCATTTCCAGCGCCGCAATGACTCTCTTGGGATTCCCTTTCTTCATCTTCAACCAGGGCGCCATCCATGGCTCCACTCTCTCTGAGAACCACGCGCACTTCTTTGTATCTTCGTCGCTTTGCAACCATCCTCCAATCCATGCCTCATCGTCTGTTGCCTTGGCGTCCGTCCAGATCTTGATGCCTGGAGCTCTCGCTGTTGTCGGGGGACCAACCTCCTCCAGTCTCTGTCCTCTCTCAAGCTTTCTCGTGATCCAACGCATCAGCATGAGAATGATCCAGGGGACCCTGAGCTTGCCACGTGTCCCCCACACAGCTGACGACCATGCGAATAGCGGTCCCAGCAGGGGCCGTTCCCACGGCAGAGCCAGTGAAGCGAAACTCAGCCTCCCAAGCCCGGCTGCGAACTCAATGTCACTGATCTCCTTTCGCTCCTCCACCGATCTCATCCATCTGCATAGCCACTCCGCACGGCGCTCCGAGAGCCCCATTGCAAGCTTCCTGTAATCGGTTGACACTCCTACCCATTCTGTAACCCATCCTCCTCGCTGCTTCTGCCATTTGAAGGGCGCCCCTGCAACTGCCATAACCAGGAACACCAGGACGGCGCCTACTCTTCCCTTCCGAGAAGGGGCAACCACCTCCAAATCGTCCGCATATAGCAGCATCTCAATGGGGAAATCCGGGCCAACCACATAGTGGGTGAACCTCATCAAGGCTCCGCCACCAGTAAGGCGTAGAGCCAATCCCAAAAGTGCCCACATTGTTCACGTACACTGTGCCATCCTCTTCACACACTCTGCACGCTAGAAAGCCCCTCTCCGAGGCCTGGTACAAGAACCTCCTGTGAGCTTTTTCAAAATCACCCACTAGGGCCGTGACCACCTCCTTCGTATCCGCCAGCTCCTCCAAGACGCATCTCTTCTCACGAGGGCCCGGCATCCTGACCTTGTCTCTGCATCGTATCCTGTTGTTGACACCCACTTCATGGGTCCCGTCATGGATGACTCGCTTCTTTCCACTAACCTCGTCCTCTACCAAAACAGCCAGCGCCGCAATTGCTCTATTCTGCCCATAGCTCTCTTCGAACTCCGCTTGGCTCATCTTTGTAACCAAGCCAGCGCTGACCTCCGCCTCCAGGTGCTCTCTCAAGTGTCCCTCATGCTGAACCGCTGAGAGGTAGTTTCCCTTCTCCAGGCTCCAGACCGCCCCTGGGCCCTCATCCAATGCCCACTTCGTCTGCTGTTCAAAGACCCCGGGGGTTCGGGGTAACTCTTCCAGCACCCCAAGCGGCAAACCTACGCAAGCCCTCTCCAGGAACTCATAGTCGCAGTCCCCTGCCTTCTCAAGCACCTCTTTTAACATCCTCAGCAGAAAAGGCTGGCCCTCAGGGACCTTCAAGGCCTGCTCAGAAAGACCCAGTGTCTCCTGGAGGATTCCCCTCACCTCCTCCAGCAGTCTCTCATCTTTTACCAAGTTGAAGCTTCCTCCGCCTCTTGCCATCTTGAAGAACTCCTTCTCTAGCTCTGCCGGGCCCCCTGCACGCTCTGTAACTGCCTCTTCGAGTCGCCTCCTCAATTTTCTCCAGCCCCCAGCCATGGGGTACCTCCTCTTATCTCTCCTCCACCGGCCCGGGGACGGCAGGCCCCCTCCGTCATGAAAAGGAGTCTGATACCCCTTCCATGAGCAGCTCCTGGGAGGGCCCTCTCCTCCCGGGTACAAGGGCCTCATTGGGTCAACTGGTACCTCCTCCTCAAAGCGCCTCTTCTTGCCTTCAAGCTGCTCCTCACCTTCTTCTGGACATGTTCTCTTGCCTTTCCCCTTGCTCCGCCCACTGTACTTTGAGTACGCGGCAAGGATTGTTTCAGCGGCCCACCTGCATAGTTTGTCAGGCCACGCTGCTGCCGAAGCTGTTTTGAACTTGCCCTGCTCCCTTCCAATGAGTGATGCCCCTTCTCGCTGGGGCAGCGGCCCCACGTAGTGACCCTCCTCATCGAACACGGGCTTGCCTTCTATCATGGCTGGCCGCAGCGGCCCTTCCAGCCGGAGCAGCAGCCGTGTGGGTTTCACTGAGTCGCTCCCGAAGTCCAGCTGGGAGAAGACACATGTCCGCAGGCCTTCTTGTAGGGCAAGTTCGAATTGCGGAAACTGCCACATCGATGCCGGCTGATGGTCAGGTATCCTCTGGTATTTTGTCTTGCCCAAATCTTCCGGCTGTTCCATCATACCAACAAAATCCTCATGTCTTGCCTGTCTCCTCAACGCCTCATAGGAGAAGTCCCCCAACATGTTGCCAAGCTCCGCTTTCTCGGCCCTAGAACGGCTGTTCCAGGGAAACCCCCTGGGGTGCATGAGACTTCTCACGGGGTATGGCCCCCGGTCATTCGCCCATGTCGCCCGGGAGAACGTCGAGCAAGGGGGAGTGACCAAAACTACGAAAAATTCGCCATTGGTGATACGCTGCAGCCACCTCTTCTGGACATGCTGCAATGAAAAGTCGTCTCGCCGGTTCCTTTGGATGTCCAGCTCCACAACCTCAATTTCTATTCTGTGCTTCTTGGAAAGTCTCCTCAAGAAACCTCACACCGAATTCTTCCTCTTCCGTCCACTGAAGACGTAGAGGACTTTCAAACGTCCTCAGGCAGCACCGGCCCCCTGTGTGTCCTTCTGGGGATCCTGCCTGTTCTTTGAGTTGCACTCAGGCAGCGCATGCTTCGGGGAGAAGCATATCCCGCATACATGCTTGTACTTGCATTTCTTCTCTTTGCACTTCTCCCCCGAGTTGAAGCGATAGCACACCAGGTCCCCTTGAGGGGTATGCGAAGCGCAATGGCCTCCCTGCTGCACGGCCTTTCCCTTGCCCTTGCCCTTTTTTCCGCCTTTCTGTAGCTTCGAGGGCATAGACGGGGCTGGTGCCGGTGCCGCTGCTCTCCAGGGCGGTGGGCGTTTTGCATACAACGCCAACGGTGTCGTAAAGTGCCTTTCTTTCACCGTCGAGTCTCTCCATGCAGCTTTGAGAGCCACCACCCAGGTCTTCCCCTCTCTGTTCACCAACTTGACAGCCTGTTTCCGCACTGCATGTTCATATGCCAACACCAAACTCCAGGGCGGGTTTGCCACCGTATTCCCTTCTTCGTCCCTGGCTACCAGACCATAGACGTACTCGCCCAACATGTAGTTCTTGTACTCCTCAACTGTCCTCTCATAGTCTCCTTGGAGCTCTGTTCGATTGGTGTGCCTCAGTGCCACCACGACCATAGCGTTCCTCATAATGGTCAATCTCCTTCTCAATTCTTCTGCATTCGCCGGCTCCTACCTTTGGTGTTCCATACAGGCACAAGGTCATCAGGATCGACCTCGTCCTTTGAGACCACCTCCGTTAGGGGCTCTGCTCTGTACTCGCCCCCTTCAACCTCTGCCAGCTTCTTCTCAACGTACTCCTTGGCAGGGGTATCTTTGTCTTCCATCTGTCCGTATCGCTTCTCAAGCACCTGCCTCATTGAAGCCCACTCACTGGCAATTAACGGCTTTGCCCTGTCTTGCACCTCATATTCTGCGTCCACCTCCGCCGCCTTTTGTGTCCTGGAGGTGGCATTGGCGAAGGCGCAGACCACCGCCGCCACCTGCACCCTCTCTCCCAGCGTCCTGGCTTGGTCGAGGTCCCAGTGGTCTTTCAGGACTTGGACCAAATCTTCACGATCCTTCGCCAGGGATGCTAACTTCTCAACCGTGGTGACTCCGTGGTGGAAGAAGAGCCTCTGGTTCCCTATTTCCACCCCTTGCTTCGCCAGGAGAAACTTCAGGTCGGCTCCTCCTGCTTGGTCTGCTGCCTCCTCCTGCTCCTGCGAGAGCACCACCCTCGGCATGCCCTCTCCCGGCTGGCGTGGCTCACACCAGACTTTGAACCGCTCCACGGCTGCAGAGTAACATGAGCTGTGCAACTGAACCTCCATCATGCTGCTAGCACGGTGTCCCTTTCAACTGCACATGCCAGGCTCTGCAACTCATGTTCCTACCCCTGCCGCCTCGCCTCCGCTCTCCGTCGGGTAAAGATGCCGCCCACGGGGCTTGGACCCGGCTTCCCCCGCCTAACGCTGGGGGACGCAAACGAGAACCATGACGTGAAAGGGGGGGACCACGGGGTATCCTACATGCCGGCAACATGTACCCCCTTTCCCTCCATGGACCAACCATGACCCGCCGCCCGGCCGTGGGGCTCCCACGGACTTCCTCGACAGGGAGCGTCCCCATCTTGCACCCGCCGTGGGCCCCCACGGACTTCCTCGGCAGGGAGCGTCCCCACCAAACACCTGCCGTGGGGCTCCCACGGACTTCCCCCCAGGGAGCGTCCCCGGGCCCACTGCGATGCACCCTTCACTGCCGCCTTTTCAGCCGTCAGTGACATCGGACAAATCTAATTCGTCTATTGAGTCACTTGTGGACTCCTGTGCTTTCTCAGCCTCCTTCCTCCAGCACAGCTTGCACCACGTGGAGTACTGCTGAGGGTCAGGGCATTCCTTGTGGATCTCGGCCTTTGTGAAACTCCGCTTCTTTGCCATCCAGCACGCGTCAGGCCCCAGGAGGTGCAGCGTACCTCTTCCGGCTCTTTGATACACCACAACATAGCCTCCCTGCCTCTCTTCCGCAAGCTGCTGGAACTTCCTCTCCTTCAAGGGCCTCTCTTCCGCTCTCTTTGAGAACTCTTCTAACTCAGGCATCTTGCTCTTGCCCTTTCTCTCCACCTTGGCCCTCTTGCCTTCGTTGGCCGCCTCCTGCTTCTTGTCACTCTCTGACTCCGTGGTGGCGAGCTCGGTCTCCTCTCCACTCGGCTGCACGTCGTCCACCGTCTCGGCAGCGGCCAAGACCTTGACCTTCTTCTTGAAGGCCTCCACTGCGTTGTCTGCATCCCCCGGGTTCACCTCCCAGTGGGTCACCATCCACTCCTTCATCTCTTCGAGGATGCTACCCTCATCAAAGGTCTCGTAGGCTTTCCCGCTCCTCACCACCTTGACGAACCTCTTCTGCAGCCTTGCCACAGCTGCATTGTACGTTCTCACGTACTGATCGCTGCCCTCTGGCAACCATCGCCCAATCAGGTCGCGATCCGTCTTGCTGACACCCATGGCCGCCAAGCAGCTGGGCAATGTGGAGCGTTCTGAGTGCTCCGACCAGAAACGATCAAAGCCTTCCGGGAAGATCCTCTCCCCTTCATAGTCCTTCAGCGCTGTGATCACATCGCTGCTGGCCGCCGAGGCTTCATAGTATTTCATCGGGCCCATCCCAGTCTGTCCTGAGTCGAATGCGCCCTCATTGAAGACATACTCACCGTCTTCTCGCCACGTCCTCTTCACCAGGTTGTACCCAATCTCCAGCCACGAAGATTCAGCTACATAGGCATCCTCCCCAATGTACAAGGGGAGTTCCCTCACACGTTTCCCTGCACCTGTCGTCTTCGTCTTCTGCAACGTGGCCGTGAACTTGCCGTCGTAGAACCTGATTGCTCTGACTTTCATGTTGGCTGCATCGCTGAAGCGCAGGGCCCCCCAGAGCTTCACAAGCTTCATCCATGCAGCTACCCTCCGGCCCAGGGGAGCCTCACGATCCATCACCAAGCCCTCCATTGGGCCTATCATAGCTGTAAGCCACCTTGGCGCCCTCTTGATCGGCTTCGCCTTGCTCTCAAGCTTCCTCACCAAGTCCTTCACCACCAGGTCCACTGCTTGACTGTCCGTGAGCCTTTGGCCCTCCGGGACTCCTGCCAACTGCTGGAACCAGGCGACAGCTCTAGAGACTGCCAATGGTATTGAGGCACCCATCCCTTCTTCTTCCCTCACGAAGAGGTAATCAATGAAGCTGGTCGGAGAGTTGGGCTGATGGTTCTCGCCCATGTAACACCACTTCCTGAAGTGCTGCCAGCTTGCCAGATACCTTCGCAAGGTGGACGCTCTGTACTTCCCCATGAGGGACTTGAGCGCCCTCTCCGGCTGGGCTGAGTTCCCCAACTCCTGCAGGATAGGTGCTCCCATGTCCGTCAGCTCCTTGGTCAGGATCTGCAAGACTTTCTCCTCGGCCGCGTCCTCAGTCACCACACGTCCCGTCCTGAGCCGGACGCTCTTGCCCAGAGTTCCCCGCCTGGGTATGACTGGCGCCGCTGCAGCCTCTTCCATTTCGGCCTTGTGCTGCTCCTCAAGCTCCTTCGTCTGAGCCCAGGCTGCATCCATCATCCTCTGTTGAGGCACCGACATCACTGCACCCTGCAGCCTATTCTCCAGGTCCTCCATTTGTCTGGCTGACTCCACCTGCCCTTTCACGAAGTCCACCTGCCAGCTTTTGTATGGAATCCCCAGGTGTTCAGCCAGCTGCCGGGCCAGTGTCTCCTCAGTGCCCTGCGAAACGGCCAATCGAGGACCTACAAGTCCAAGCCCCTCCAACGCTTGGAGCATTCGGACTGCGTCTTCTCCATGGCCTCCATCGCCAGGTATGGCGCCAGCCATTGCTCCACCCCTTCTACAAGCAATTTCACATGCCCAGGGGGGAACTTGAACCTAAAGACAACATCATGTGCAAAAACTCTGACATGACAAGTCATGAGCGAATATCCAAGATTATCCCAGATCCAATGGAGTATCCTTAGAAATTTCGCCTTGGGATTGTTGATGTAGTCCTTCTGTCTGGCACGGATGGACCACAGCTCAGCCTCAGTCTGCACAAATCTGCACAAATCTAGAAGCTGTTGGGACATTAAACTGCAGCAGAACATGATCATAGTCACAAGATGTCACAAGATAATGTGTAATTAATATAGTATACCGATATTACCATTAATAATGTGTAAGATATTGTATATATATATATATTATATATTGTAATAGTAATATATATATATATATAATATTATACATACTACCTTGGCATCCCGACCAAAATGCCACGCACTTCGAAGCAAAGTTCTTCGGCTCTCTCGGCAGTTGGAGCCTGAGAGGGTTCTTGTTGGGGAATCTCAAAATAGGCTTTGAATATGTTGAATGATGTTGAATAGAAACTCTGTGATCGTTCCTTTCACCAATTATTTCAGATTTTCAAAGGTTCTCTGAGTGCACAGTGCACAGCTGTCACAAGATGTCACAAGATGTCACAAGTGCTGTTCTCTTTTCCGTGAGGCTCTTGCGTCCAAGATGACTCGAATGGCTGCCCGATCCAGGACCTGTCCAATGGTGCTGACTTTGGACCTCTCAGTGATACCCATTCAGGCCAATGGAGAAATGGATAGACATTTGGATAGAAATGGATAGACATATGATAGACATGGGACTTCACTTCCTTTTCCTTGTGACAGGCCTCTTCAAAACAGAGTTTCTTCCTGGGCCGAATGGTTCAATGCGGGCGTTTCGGCAAACTGTGAGTGCAAAGTGTTAAGATGTGTTAAGTGATGGGAAATCAATCGTGCAGAAAAGAGATGCAAAAAATCAACTCGCGCTTTCATTCAAGGAGAATATAGTGGGGGCACTGGACAGCTATAATGTCAATGTCGAAATGGGCTGCTCACATGTCAAGTCCAAGTTTCTGCTTCATCTTTTTCCAGGTGCTGTATGCTGATTTCGCTCTGCCGGAGACCTCGGCTTGCATAGAGCCTCTCCCAATTTCTGAAATGAAAGCTGGTACCATAAGCCATAAGCCTTGCCCTCAAAGCGTACAGGTTGGTAATAGCCATATTAAATATTGCGATGGCAACGCGCTGGTTTCCTCTTGCTCTTTTAGACACTTACATCATGTATATGGCAGTGTGTCAAAACCTTGTACCCCTGGTGAACATCAAAATAGCTGGTAAATGGCCCATATCATCTTACATCTCTTGCAGCTCAAGGCAACACTGAGTTCTGTACTCTCAGCGCTGACAGATCTTTCAAACGTTTGCCATTCTCCAGCGCCTCAAGAGCGCAAATGCTTCGAAGTGCAACGTGACGTCAACGTGACATCTAATAACTTTATAACATTTTTATAACACTTTATACTCAACTTTATACTGATTTATACTCAACTGGGAAGGCTTTCAGGTTTCACCCGGCCTTCTGGAGTTCACGCACGGCGCTATTCACCAGTGCTTCACCTACCACATGGCCACAAACATCTGCAGACGTCTCCGATCCGTTTCGATCGACGTCACGACATGTCACGACATGTCACGACATGTCACGACATGTCACGACACCACCGCCTTCAGGACCTCCCAAAAGCTCCCGCAGTTCCTGACGTTCCTGCAACAACACAGCAACACAGC